ATATAATTTCGTACAATAAGATTACGTTCTATAGACTTATCTCCCGGTTTTTGGTTACTACTGTCAATAGAACAAACATTTTCTTCTGAATGACAGCTTCAACGAGGATCAGCATAATGGTAATAACTCCGCTCGTGATTGTTGCATTATATGCTTGTACGACCAGTTTTAAAATTACAGTAATTTGTAACTGATTGAATATTGACTTATTAATTTATCCTTTGATGTTGAATGCAGGCTTTCAGCCCACTGTGGCGATAACTTGCCACCTGCAATTATTGAGACACCTTCATTTTTGACACTGAGATGATAAACCAGTTTTACGAGCCCGAAAATTACTCATTTTGAATTTTCGGAGAAATTTTTTCATCACTTGACCAATAAAATTCCAGAGATTATTATTTCACAATTGCGGTTTGCTTCTTTGAACAATCCTGTTCTAGGTGTGTGTTTTCGTCATTCAAGGTATAACCTTTGTACATCGTAAAAGAGATTTGCATAACGTTATGTTTTTATTATTTACTTATCGAAAGTGATTTGATATTTTCGACGGACATTTGATATTTTAAAAGCCGAGAATTGTCCCGAGCTTGGGTGGGCTTTACGGAATGACTATATTCTTATACAAACTGCACACTATTAGAAACAAACATCAGAAACGTCACGATTATTTGTGTAAAAATGCAAATTTTATCTGTCATTCTTTGGAAATTTTTACTTTTCCTAAAAGTAAACAATTTCTTATAATTATGCAAATTATAGTTACTGGAAAATTTATCGAAATGAAAAAATGGAGTTAAGAAAAGCAACCTTTACATTTATGTAGACAATAATAAAAAAATTATTATTCTACAAGTATAACTAAATTTCTTCTTCTTCAGTTCAACTTTCGGATAATCTCCTCAGGAAAACTGCATAAAATTTATCGTTATTGTTTTGGAGCTGTTTCCTCATTGATTTCGCGCCAAATTAATTATAAAGTCTTATAAAAGCAACTTTACTCGTAAATTTAATAGATATTAAGTCAGAATTGACACAAGTGTATGTAGGTATGTACAAACAAACACAACTCTCAGACATTTAATCGGAAATTGGCATGTAGGTGGTACTAGGCGTTCGAAAAGAATTGATTTATTTTACGATTACCAGTCGTTAAGTGTAGTCGCAATTAAAACTACTAAAAATTAATTATTCTTTGATTTCATTATGGCTAATGCAATTTATTACTTAGTCGATTAAATCACGTGGCGGGCAAATTACGTGATAAAGACATGAAAGCAAAATAAAGAATACCTAAAACCACAATTAAATTACAACAAAATAATTACGCCTAATTATAACCTTCTGCATTATTGTTAATGACATCTGAAGCTAACTAATCTAATTAATTTAGCTAATGGCATTGGAAAATTATTGTAATTATTCAATTTCCTTTAGTACAGCCAATTATTTAACTGTACGAGGTGTGTCCTAAAAGTTATTGGTTATTGCGTCGTAGGCAACCAGATATACGAATAAACAAGTAGAGGTTTGACTTGTACACCATTGTAATTTTAGTAATCTCACCAAGGTTGGCCTTTTTGCTGTGTGTAACTATATGTTTAATTTTTCAGGTTCACTATTAGGTACTCTCTATTTACTTACCAATTTGAATAATTTCATAAAAAAAAGTTTAACTAATACAATACATGTTAATTTGGAAAACGACTGTTTATGTTTGCAAATTTAACGCTTAATTTATTTATTCATTGGAAATTAAACAAAACTATAGGTACAAATACAGGGTGTTTCAGAAACCGCGCTACAGAGAGAAATTTCAAGTAAGATAAGATACCGGAAACATGGAAAAAATTTTAAAAAAAACTCTACCTGTCAATTTTTTTTTACATTTGACATTTTTTTATGTCTATTTAAAGTTACTGATGTTCTTGTATATGTTTTTTTTTTATAATTATTTAGTAAAGGTACCAATATTTTGTCAATAAAAGCCACAAATTACATTGAACATAGAACATAGTTACAATTTAGGATACAGCTTCCTTGTTTCCTCTTTTATAGCCTGTAGCAAAAAAACAGAAAATAATTTTTTCAACTGAAATAAATAAAGTCTAAGTATAAAATTTCTACTCCCATGACTTCAAAAATTTTATAGAAAGAATTTTTTTTACTTTTTTCTGTTCCTGGTATCTTACCTTACCTTATTTTTTTCTATCGCGTGAGTTCTGAAACACCTTGTATGTATAAAGAAATTTACATAACGTAATTTATTTAACAAAGTAAAAAAAGATTTACATATTTTCCCAACAAATTAACAACTCACTTATAGATTATGACATTTTAATTAAAGTGTTATTATCCGCCGCAAGTTTTTTAAAATGTTAATTTGTTTATTTACAAATTTTAGTGTTTTATGCCACAGATAAAAATATTCCGTCCATTAACTCAATTATCACTCATCAACTTAAAGTAAGTACTTTTCGCAGGTATTAGCTCCATTTATTCGTGCAAATAAAATAAACTCTCATTTGACCATTAATGGATCCTTTTAATTCTAGCTTGTTAATGCCACAAAAACTCTCTAATTAAAAAAACACCTGCTACGAGTATATGAATCAAAATTTTATTTAATAAATGTCAAAAAAATAACCGATCAGAGGTTACGAGAAATGGTTTTGGCCCGATTTCAAAGAAAAGAATATTTTAATTATGATACAGTTGACAGGTTTTGATCATTTTATTATTTGCAACATGCAATTAATGGGCGTATTACCAAATTACGATTCAGAAACTTGAACCAAGTTTGCTAATTAATTTCAGACATTACGCAATGAATGTATTAATTCTGATAGTATATATAAACCAAGAGGCAATAGTATCATCGCATGATAAAAAGATAAAGAAAAAGAGTAACACATTTAGATGTACCAAAAATTTAACTTTTTAACACTGTTTTTAGCAACATTTTATACAATACTTTGGCCTTCACAGATTGCATAGTTGTAGTTTTTAAGTGAGAACAATGTATTTTATTGAAGCTAATACAATTTGAGCTATTGATTTGGGTACCGTATATACGCCAAATGACATCAATTTTAACTGTAAAATTTAATAATAAATCCATTATAAAAAGGGCTCAATAGAAAAAATTGTATAAAAATCACGTGTCACAACCAAGGCACTCGTCTCACAATGAGAGTGTTTGTTTGTAACAAGTGTTTCTTAATATACTTTTTTAAAGTTTTAAGACTTTAATACTTAAAAAATGTAAAATTTTTGTTGTAATTTCTAATACATACTACAACTACATTTTTAGTAGACGCAAAAATACTGTAACAATAATTAAAATGTATAAATGCAAAAATATGGAAAAACGAATCGTCAACAACAACTTATTAATACCCGAGTAATCATATCCCTGAGATACTACTAAATTGAAATGTCACTACATAAGCACTAATAACTTATTCATCATAAATGACATCACAACAACTCAGGAAAAAATCCGCTAATTCTATAATATGTTAACTTAACAAACAGAAGCTCAAACATTTAAATATTTCATAGCCTAAAGAAAGCTTTGTAACTAAAAGCAAAAAATAATTAAGAAAAGTGGGACTTTTAAGGCTTAAAGGCTTAAACTTGCTTTAAATCTGTTAAAAATAATCTGACGTTTCGTATTGAGAAGTGCCAAACAGTTATCAAAACTTTCTTATACAAAATAAGAAAAAAATAATTATAATTTATAAAAAAATTATAATTTTTGTGAAATCGTGAAGTACACGAAAAAAGTACGTGTTCAACGCGTAAGAAAAGTAAGTTTTCTTTACTTGCTAAACAATCTACTATGCTTGGCGTCGCAATATAAAAATAGGGGCGCGTGAATATATGACCACGTTCAAATTTTTCCATGTAAAATATAAATGTTAAAACTTGTTGGAACGATGATAATTAAATTGCAAACAGTAGAGGAGACATTAATTGTGAGCGCGACTGTACCAGATCAGACGTTAAAAAAGATAATCAAGCGTGAGACTGGTTAATTTAATTACCTATATCTACATGGTACAATAACGAAAAAAGACAAATAACCCCGGGAAACCGGACTGGGGCGGTGGACAAAGCTGCAGACATTATTTATGAGTTTGCTTCTCTATTCGTATTGAGTTCAAAAATAAACGAAACAAATAAAATAAAATTAATAAACATTAAGAAACAAACAGTACCTAATTAATAAATGTATCAATTATTTCATTATTTAGAGAATGATCTGCTTAAATAGTACCTATAGTTGAACCTTGGAACAATCAAATTAGGCCACATTCACGAAACTATAGATAGAGAAATTATTTACCATTTTTTTATGTCAAAATAAAATGTCCAAATTCTATTTCTATGAGTTTTTTTAGGTACCTTATATCTAGTTATGTCATTTAAAAATTACTTTGATTTTTTTTTAAACAGTTTTGTCAGTCAATCGTAATGAGAAAAAATTTCAAATCGACCAATAGCATCAAAATTACACTGATAATTTGATGTTATTGATTTTTTTACGAATAATTACATTCGTGATAATTTATCGTTATAAGTTTAATTAGATTAGCACTCATCTTAGTTGCTATTAGAAAATACCACTCGTGGACTTTGTCTACTCGTGAGATTTCTTTAGCACCAAAGGTTCGTGTATTTATAGTAAAATTATCAAAAAATTGTCATCACTGTTGAAAAACTGGTAAAAAAATTGAGAGCAGTGTTAGGGTTGATTTATAGAAGATGAATTATTTGATTGCAATTAAATTTTCTGTAAACCGATCCTTAGTGTTTTTACTGGTAATTAAAGAGGAATAAAAGGAATTTATTATTTTCTTTCCCTCGTCTGGTTACGTTTCCTTTTTTATAAGCTAATTTAACCTCGCTTGATTTTTGTCTTTAATGAGTTAATTTACAACTTTATTGAAACCATTTGTTTAACTTAATCCAATCAACAAAATCCACAAACCTACCTGAACTAGGTCGATCGCTGTACCTCGTGCAGTAAACCCAGGCTGGCCACAACATCGGCTGACTCTCAGTCTTCTTCTCCGCCTCACTCTTACTCAAATCCACAGGTCCTTTGGCCTCTTCAACAGCCCCAACTTCCGGCACAATCTTCTTCGGCTTGCACTTTCGTATATTAATCGGATCCGTGATCCTCCTTCCAAAATCCGCTTTCAAAATATTGTCTATCGAAAACTTGAGATTGCCATTATTTGCATCGTTGTTATTAGCTTGCAGCGTCTTCTGGTTGTAGTAATTTTCGGGCGACTCCGGTGTGGACGAACCCCGGAACAAGTCCACATCGCGGTCTGACTTGGTGTAAACTAGGAATCCGGGCGAACCGGACTTTGTACTCGACGGGCTGCTTATTCTGGGACTAGAAGGGCTCTTACGCTCTGGGTCTAAGGTACTGTTCGTAATTTGCGATATGGCGTTTAGGTGACTCTCTATATTTTTAAAAGAGAGTGGAGTGTCTTCAGGTGGTGGGTTCTCGTTGCCGACGGAAAGCACAGTGTCGTCGCTACAGCAGCTGTTGTGGTCGATGTTTAGGGATTCTCTGTCGAAATGGTCACTAGAGTCCATGGAGACGGAACCATCGGTGCTTTCCAGGTTCTGTCGGGAGAAGTGGTGCGGTTGGGGAACCATGTTGCTCGTCAAAGCCGCCATTTCACCTTCAGACCAACATTTTCCCAATCACTAGCACCCACTTGGTTTTAGGCACAGTTTAGGTCGATTAAACTGATCAAATTAGAGACGATTCCAGTCCGATCTACACACCACGAACTACCACGGTATTCTGACGTTTGGCCATTGGGTTGGGGCGGGGTTTGTTCGATAGGTGGGGCAATAGAGGTGTGGCCTCGTCGAGAAACGAATCACAGTTCCGAAAACGAATGTTCTGGTTGAATTTGACATGTTTTATGGGTTATTTATAGTCAGAACCGCAAAGTGGGAGATTATGCAGAAGAGCTAGAACACTGCACGCACATTGTGGTTATGTTATGTTGGTATTTATTTTGATTAACTGAATTTTGACTCGATTTTTTCCAATATGATATCTTGTTTTATCAAAACCGATTGTCTCAAGTTTTCAATTAAATTATTTCAGCGAAAATTTTTAGTGTCACAAATTGAGACATTTACAAAACTGACGATAATAAACTTGATTGATTGGTACCTATTGTTTTTCCCTAGACGTAGACTAAACGTGTTATTAATTAAAAATACTTAAACTCATCACATTTCCATAATGATGCAATTTTTTTCAATAACTACTTACATATAATCGTTTTCATATTAATGTGCATCGAAGTAGTCGTTGAAAGGGATCATTTTAAGATGGCAACCATGGGAAAAATCAAACAATCCTAAACTCAATCTTATACGTAAAAATTATTTTTTTAAATAAATGTGTACCCCATGTAGCAAACAATGATTAAAATTAACAACATAATTAACATAGGATTGATGTGATTAAATTTGTTCTGAATGACATTAATGACACTTTTTGTGTAAATCGGCCTTTAAAGTAAAGATTCATTTAGACCTCTACAACCTACTTGATGCACATTAATATGAAAAGAAGTACCTATAGGTAGGTTATATTATATAGGCTGGATTATGAAATCCCCCCCCCCAAGCCATAACAGCTTTATTTTTAAAAAATACGACAATACTTGTTAAAAACAAGTTATAAAAACAGTTTATTTGGAAACGATGCTCAATCAATATGTTGCTTTTTTTTTAATAAAACACCTTGTATATTTTATTGTTTTTAAAACTTTGTTAAATTGTCGCTCAACAAACACTATTTATTTTTTATCATTAACACTTTTTTAGGCAATTTGAAAATTAAATTACCTATAGATAAATTAAATAGTTTGTGGAAAGACTGGAAAATTTTTATTCAATTTGTGTAATACAAGCAAACGGTTGATAATAAAGAGCTGTTCAATTCTGATTAAAAAAATATTGTAACGCTTTTAAACGGTATGAAATTATGTCTCGAGGCGTTTTTATAATCCAGCCTGTATAAGTAGGTGAGTCTTAATTTAAACGCATAATTTTAGGGTATATGATAGGTTATGGCAAATAATAACTAATAACGAAAAAAAATCGAATAAAAGCTTTTTAGTTATCGAAATATATCGTCTTAAAAACACTATTACCTAGCCTTTAAAATTTTAAATAATTTGCGGTAATAACACCAATGCCGACTACATTTGTTCCCGTTATGCCTGTTAAGTGAATTGATTTTCTTTATTTTGGTGGGTTTAAGTGATGCTTTTATTGATATTTTTTGGAACTTAACTTTTTTTTCAGAACAAAACACAATTATTATAAATATTATTATTACAAACAAGTTGTTTTAATTTGTTACACCTGTATTTTACTTTTTTTTGACCCGGCAAAAAAAAGAAACTATTTGACAGAAAATTATTCAAGACATAATTTTGTGACAAATGATTTTCAATAAATATCTTTGTACTCTACTAAACCGGCCGTTTGGATATGAATAAAAATGTTCATTTTTTTTCTTCTGATTACCAAAAATCAGAAGTTAGTGATAAATAATAGTAAATGAAACAATTTAATGTGAAATCCAAAAATAATAAAATATGTAGGGTATTTCATTTTTTATCATCATTGATTGATTATCTATGACAAACAACAGATGACAAAAAACTATTCAACTTTGTTCTAAGAAGTATTAACACATCTTTAAAAAAGAAAGAGTTATGGCTTGAAGCGTTTTTTATAATCCATCAGGTTTTATAAAAAAAAAAGCGAACAATATCTAAATAAAATTTGAAAGACCCAAAAATGTGCTTCTTTTTTTATGTTGACCTTGTCGAGTAGTTTCCTGTTTTTTTTTTTTTTTGCTGCAGCTGCATTTGCCAAATTTCGCGATTTAAAGATTTTCGATTAATGGAGGCAAAGACGCCCCGCTTAGTCCACCTAATTATTATATTACACGGAGGACTGTGGCGGCAAATGTCGCCAACATCAAACCGATTCACTGTTATATTGACATCAAGGCAGTTATTGCTATGGAAGAGCATCATCATCAAGTGAAATAAAACTGCATTACTATATGTAACCGTCAATGAAACAGATTATTGCGTTAAATTTTCGCAGAAACCGTAAAATTATATAAATACCTCGAGCACCATAAACACGTTTCTTGAAATTGCACTAAGGCAAAAGTTGGCAGAAAAAGTGGACCTTGTGTGTCGTTTTAATTAATGAAATGATAGCAGCAATAAAATTACGAGAGGAGAAAATACCTTGACGATTTTTCTAGGAAACTATCAGGAACAGAAAGATTTTTTTTAACTGTAGGTATGAGGATTATAAACCGGTGATTATTGCAACCGGAATTCTTATGGTGAGAGTTTTTAATTACGTTATGGACTAATCTGAGCGTAAATCGTTTAACATCAGCATCCGATAGAACTTATATGGACTATGTTGGCTCGAATAGCTATAAAGATGTCATTGTGTTGCATTATGAGCTTGCATAATTGCATTAACGGACATTTAAAATTGCAACATAAACAGCGATGGACTTTTTACAGATTCTTTTTGAAACAGATTAACTTTGACAAACAATTATCGAAACAATTTTCTTCAGGCCTACCACACACGCTTTAATAGAGGAAAGGTGAAAACGGAAATGTAACTTAAGCCTGCAGCGATGCAGTGCTTCATTACAGGATGTTATAATAGATATACTAAGTGTTAATAACCCACATCACATCAGGTACTAATGTTACAGTAAGAAAATTGATACTGCAATCTGCTTTCACGGCATTACACTTACGACATAACTAGATTAAAAAGTACATAAATATGTAGACACACCTGATAAGTGATAAATGAAAAAGATTTAATCAAAACTAAAGTATATACAGGCTGCGTCAAAATTCGCGCCCCAGAGAAAAATGCCATATAAGGTAAGATACCAGGAACATGGAAAAAATATTAAAAAAAATTTGTCTATAAAATTTTCGAAGTTATGACAGTTTAAATTTTGGACTTTGACTAATAAGTTTCCATTTTTTTTTTGCTACAGACTATTAGAAGAGGAAACAAGGAAGCTGTATCTTAAATTGTAACTCTGTTCAATGTTATTTGTGGCTTTTATTGGCAAAATTTTTGAACCTTTACTAAATAGTTGTAAAAAGACATATACAAGATCATCAGTATCATTAGAGAGACATAAAAAAATGTTCCTGGTATCTTATCTTACTTGAAATTTTTCTCTGGGACGCGAGTTCTGGCGCATCCTGTATACCATCTAGTGCGAATAGTCTAACATTGGACTACAAAATTAGTCTTAACATATTAAAAAGCTGCTCTATTCAGTTCGATGTTTATAAAATTTTACCTAAGTTGACAAAATTATCATTTTTCTAGGACCTTTGTGTAAATATAAGTTCCGTCGTAAAAGATCATGATACAAACATTTTGCCGTTTTATCTTTTGACTTGACATTTTATTTGACGTTTCATATGCAGTTACAATCTACAGTGCGATCAAAAAGTCTGTCTATCAAGCAAGCGTAGAAATTTAAAACGTATGTCTATGGAAGATAAAATGTCACAATGACAAATGAGAAATGTCAAAATATTTTTTTTTTATAAATTTTGACAGGAAACCGTGGTGAACGATTTTTATGAATAAACACCAACAAAATCTTATTTTAGTTTGTTTTGAGACATTTCATAGAATAATTCAATTTAATTAGCTCAAAGTTTTAATTTATATAAAATAAGTTTTTGACATCTAGATAACATACAAACTGCCATACAACATACGTCCTCAACTAGGACGCCTACTTGATAGAAAGACTTTTTGATCGCACTGTATTTTTTTATTTGCTGATGAGGGTAGTGTGAATCAAGAACACAACTTGACCTCCGACTGTTTTTGACATTTCACAGCTTCTGACATTTTGGTACTGAAAGTCAAAAATTAAAGCTTCTCCCTGACATTTGGATTTTTATAGGGCTTGAATTACGCTTGTTATAGAGAGTATAAAAATTAGCCCAATAACACTTTTTTCTCATTATAAATGAAATGAGAGATGACCTACATGACGGTAAGACACACTTTTGACGTACGTCACTAGTTGTGCGTTACTTTAATCGCATTTGTTAAAGTGAGATAAATAGCGTGACCGACCTTATGCAAATACGTAGTGAGACAGCAACAAGGCTGTTTACAAATGTTGAAAAGAGATAGCTATCTGGTACATTTTTCGAATTATTAATTGATCCACACGCATGCATAACAAAACGTATACACTTTAGTTCAAAACAGACATACGTCTTCGGATCCAAAGATGACTCGATTACAAATTACCTAGGTATATAACTTGATCTCTCGATACATGCTGTTCTAAAGAATTTAAATTCTAAAACGAAGAGTGGAGTAAAAGTAGTTTATGTAGCGAAGCTGAATGTTTTTTTTGCCGAATAAAGTGAGACAAATGATTCAGGTGAGCCACATAAACTTACTTTTACTCCACGTAACATATACTATTTTATCCGCAAACGTATATTCAGATCGAGAGTAAAGAGAACACAACACCTAATTATCAAGTAAACAAAACAATCATGATGCTTTGCAGTGAAATTTTAGTGAGATTTTCGAAAATGTTTATTGATTTAGAGAATGACTTAGTAGTTGAAAATGCCGAATGCTGATAATCTACAATGTACCTCTCCAGAAAATGCTGAAGCAACGAAAGAAACAGGAAAGAGATAACATTGGTAAATGCCATACTTAGCAAATGTCCGGTAAAAGTACCTAAAAACGCTTAGGCAATAATACCTATAGTGTTTTTACTTCATGTATGAAAGGTAAAACTTTTACTTGTGTCATTTACCTAGTCATAAAAGGGTCATTTTCCTGACATTTGTCAGTTTAAAATTGAAAAACACAAACACATAAACACTTTTAGTTAAAAAAACCAAGTGGTGATAATTTTGAAAGAGAATATTTACTTCTATCTACAGACACCACAACAAACCACTTAAATAATACTTTAAAGTGGGCCGAAGATAAATAACATTACTTGCGCATTATGTAGTTAAAATAAAATTTGTTTTATTTATAGAATAATGGCGATATAATTGAAGGCAGTGTTTTATTTCAAAAGGAATTTTTATTTTATGTTCTCTGTCAACACTGTATATGTAGGTGATGTTTTTTATTACAAAAATGCTTTTAAAATTAGATAAAAAACGGAATTTCTCGTAAATAAACAACCATTATTATCATTTCTATGTTGGTACCAGTATCACTTAAAGCAACCATACTTATAAATAAATAAACAATTACGGTGACATTGGAAAAGTGAACAATTCAAATGCTTCGACGAGCAAATTAACCGATTAGGAAGTGAAATGTGGCAACGGGAACCCAAGCAAGACAAACTAACTAACTCTTCTCTTCTGAAACATATTTATGTAAAACACAGTCGTCTTTAAATAACAAATAGCATCAAAACTAATTGATTTACAAAATTAGAAAAAACACAGTATATCAATTCCCAAGCTTGTATTTTTAATAAATCTTAACATACTAACCGAATTGACACCTTTCTCCCACTCCGGCTGTAAACCACGCCTACTAGCTTTATCCCTACTCCAAAATGTCACCTTTGAGTTGATCCCGCCTTGATGGTGGGAGGAGCGTGAGAACCAATCACTGCAGCGACGTGTGTGGTCCTCAGATCTTCATTACATCTTCTGTTGCCAATTTAACGATTTGAAACGCGGTAGGCAATGGACGCATTATTTAAACGTAGGTTAGAGAGAGAGGAAAAAAGTTTGCGGCCAGGGCTCAATGTAATTAAAGCGATTGTATGTGTAAATTTGATATTTTCTTATTACCACTCATAGAAAGACTATCCATCATAGTAATAATTACAGAGTAATGGGACGCCTTGTGTGGTAAAGATATCTTCTTCATGGTAAGTTTACATTTACCAAGTCTCTTTTATCACAGGGAATAATTCTCAGTTTAATTGATGTAAAGTGAAACGTGTAATTAAAAGGAAATACTTGAATGACACAGCGACGCTGCTTCGAAGACAAATTAAAAAGTTCTAAATTGAACATTCTTTCATTTGGAAGACGAGTTAAAGAGGGTGCTTTGAAAAACGCCCCTAGACTAAACTTAATTAATCACCGACGAAATCTACACTTTACAGTTTTACAACGTTCGCAACAAATTGATATTTAACTTCCTGAAAGTATGCAACCAATTATTCAGCAATGCAGCCTTGAATACGCGAATTTATTTAAACAGGGCAAAAAAAGCGGTGGGGCTCTTTATTTCAACTGCGAGTCGTGTTGAAAAAGACAATAAAAAAAGAATTTAATTAAAATTTCAAACGGTAATGAAAAAGTGGAATACCTACCTACAATTTCTTTTAGAACGATACTTTAATCAAGTAGGTATTGGATAAATTGCTTTGTTCCCTTCTTTGAAATTGTTACATCACGTAGAGCTTGTTCCAAAACTTGTAGCACACTGACATTGTCAAAAATGACTGAATTTTGACACTAAACATATTATGTTTACTATTAAAAAAATATTGATCATAGGCGTCGTACTAAATAATAACACGTGTTTTTTTTTTAATTTGGCGTTAAAGCTACCTATGAAAGTTTGGTTGTGAACGAACCATCGTATTGAAAGTTATTAACCTGACATTTATCGCCGGGCATATTAGAAATTGTGGTCCGTTCACAACAAACTCATATCACCGCCAACTACTAAACTAAACACTCGTTATTTCAAAACAACTGTTATTCTTTAAAAAAAAAATAATAAGTACAGTTGGGCACGGAATCCTGGGCAGTCTTTTCTTGTCATTTCAAAAAATGTCAATGTAAATGCACCTTTACCGTCATTATGATTGATATTAAAAGAAACTGTCAAATTAACTTTGACAAACATCAATTTTTGCAAAAATGTATCAGTTTTTAATAAACTTCGAGCAATAGCTCTTATTCAAAGTGGGATGTCACAGGGGCAAGTCTCAGTGACTTTGGGGATTCCAAAAACTTCGACTTTGTCAGTGTCAAAAAGTCAAATATGATAAACATTAAAAACTTGGTTATGAGTACCTAAGATATAGTTTAGAAATTTTGACAACTGAATGACACATCTGCCCAGTTTTCCGTGTCTTAGGGTATAGTTGCGGAATTAAAATTTCGTGCAGTATTTTTCTGTCATTCTAAAAAGTTCACTGTAAACCCTTTACTGTCATCATGACTGGCATGTGACAATTAAACTTTTTTTTTCTTGTCAAAATTGTTATCATATTACTCGTATCATTATCATATAATTATGCGATGTCTTAATAGTCATTAATTGACGGAACATTTTACGACAATTTTTAGGTTGGCAAAGCACATTGATGTGTCATGCATGTCAGTACAGTTGGAGACAAAATAGTTTGGTCGTCAATGTCACTTGAGTGACCTTAAATTCTAAAGCATGCTTTAGGACTGTTAACCTTATTTTTAGCTACTGTCAATCAGAGTTGACAAGTTGTATGTACATATTTTTGATTGGAAAATATAATAGCTGTCATTAATTTGAAATTGTCATTCATTTTAACGTTAAAGCTTGAATTACATTAAAGTGTCAGAAAAGTTACTACCAAAGTATTTTGTCTCCAACTGTACCTAAATTACAAAATGTGTCAAGAACAGGAAATGTCCATTGGAAAATTTTGATAACACGATTTTGATTTAATGTATTTCAGAGAAGCGTACAGGCATCTTTATTATCTTCCATATTCTGTTTTTTGGAAAATTTAAATAAAACAAAAGATGACTAGATCAAATTTTGACTTTTAAAATAAACATTGCCTACCAATCGTCGAAACAATCTTTAAATCGATTAAAATAAAATAAATTGACATAAAAAAAGCAAATTACAAAAAATAGTATAAAAAAACTGGTTTCATAAGACCTTTGAAGCACTTCTTCTTTAAAATGATTCGTGGTTGTGCCTACCCCTCGTTTTTTAAACTTGAATTCGTGCTTTAGTATAATATACTATTAAGAAACACTATAGGCCAAGAAATATTAAATGGATTGGCATTAACCAACATCCATAAGAACGTTATAGTATAGGTAGATGTTGAAGAAGTAATGAATCATTTTTCCATCATAAAGCCTCGTATATTCAGAAAGAAAAAAAAGCTTTCCTGTGTCCCTATGTATTTTATTATATAAGGTGATTCACGAGGAATAATGAGCATGACCAAATTCTCGATGCAACCACCATTACTCTTCGCAAGTTATTTTGCGACAACTGTAATGTTGGTTGCATCGAAAATTTGGTCAGGCTCATTATTCCTCGTGAATCACCCTGTATTAACCAAGGGAGCGCATTCTACATGTCTTCTCTACAACGTTTTTTTCAAACGCTTTGATTTTCCAAATTGCTCTCTTTATTGCCTCCTACTTTTTCACAAAAATATTCAAAAAGCTTAAATTTAACACCACTAGATCCCGCCGTTACAGAGTTCTGTAATACTTTTATCGGCATGAGATCTTTTTTAGGTTTAGGATTGCATAAACCACCCCGGTTTTAACCTTACTTCTACAACTCCAAATTGAAATTATTGGAAGTGACAGGTTAGTGATCCACAAAGTTTCAGGGCCACGGTGCCCTTTTAATTTTATGGATTCACAATGACGGGTTTTTTCAAACGTCCCGAATTCCAAGGTAATCCATGAAACTATATCCTTATCAACCATTAATGTAGCGATAGTATCAAATTACAGCCCCACATTTATCGCAAGAATCATAAACGGGAATGAAGTCCAAACGAAAAATCTTTTTATACATGACCATTGTTTTTATGTTTGTATTTTACGTTCTAATGTCTTTACAAATTTCAAACACGGAAGGTGAGCCAAATTCAGGACATAATATAGGTATGCTTTGCTTCTTGTTGGGGCCTTTGTAGTGTAAGTCGTGATTGTGGCATTTTTTTCTCGTTTCACGTTGCGAATGTTCAAGCACAGTAGATGATAATCCATTTTTGAAGTTTCATTACTAGTAGATAGTTTACGTTTGATTGTTACATCGTGATAAAGGATTTAAAAATGTGTACAATTTTTATTAACTTTCACTATGTGTTTAAAAACACATGTTTGGGCACGTAATTTAACGAGCATGTGAATGCTAAATAAACAAATAACTTAATTTAACTAAATAAAAGTTAAGCAATATTATTTGACTAGGTAGTATTGATGACTTGTTTTTTTGGGTAGTTTCTGTGGAAGGCTGGGACTACAATACGACTAGGGATACTACACACTATGTTTTAAATACGAATCTGAGCGCACATATTTGGCCAGAACACTTCTGTGATCTCAATTCATTTTTACTTATAATGGTTTGCTCAGGACCTTCTAACTTTGAAGCACGAAGTGCTATCCGAGATACCTGGGGTCATGAGCGAATTATTTTAGGTAATAACGTGTCCTTATTTTTTCTACTTGGAGAGACTGGGAATAGTTCATTACAGGTAACATTATTTTTCTAGTGGATTTATTCTAAGTCAGTTTTTTTCAGTATGATATAATGTTGGAAAGTGATAGATTTGGAGATATTATTCAAGAACGCTTTCTGGATTCTTATAATAATTTGACATTAAAGTCTGTATTTATGTTAAAATTAGTTAGCAGTTATTGTGCCAACTCAACCAAATATTTGCTAAAAATCGATGACGACATGTTCGTCAATATGATTCCAGTCCTACGAATGTTGAGGGATAGAAACAGCACCACGGACTTGCTTATGGGAAAACTTATTTGTAGAGCCAGACCCATCAAAGATACTTCTAGCAAATGGTTTGTATTGATTTTTTGTTTATTCTAATGACCACTCAATTTATTCAAAACGTAAACATTTACTTACTTACACAATCATATCTTGACAGATATACATATAAAGTAGAGTACAGTTTCTGAGATATCTTTTTTTGTATCATATCTAAATACTCACATCCGCTATCAATTTCAACAATTAGGTTATCTAAATGTATTTGGTTTTAAACATCCACTTACACAGGTCGACAAAAAAAGTCATGTCGTGACAACTTGACAAATTTTATATCATTTTGTTCGTCTCAGTGAGACAAATCAAATGCACTAAAAAACAATTCAAAAAGTCCACAAGCTTTGAAGTAAATATTTTTTTTCTAATTTAAATGAATTTACTTATACTATATATATACTTATAATATACTTTAACTTTAAAAAATCATTACTCAATAACTATTAGGTCGATATGCGGTCGATATAGAATGATATGCAATTTGAAATTAAATATTGGCAAACTTTTCTTCAAACAGTGTTCGAAGAAGTTCGAAGTAGATCGAAGTAATCTAAGAAAAACCCTACGAGTAAATTTTTTTCTTTGTCATCAAGGTGTAGAGCATCTTTTTATTAGTAAGAATCCAAATTTTTAAAATAATATACCGAGTAGTTTTCAAGATATGATTTTTTTGAAGTTAAGGTTTGCTATTTAGGTATTGCGCCATATAGGAGAAATGCATGTTAATCTTACTTAAAATTGCATTTTTATAAAAGTATTTGTTTTAAGACTCTTTTTTTGCTTAAAAATGGTCAATTACATCTTCTTTGTTCTAATTAGAATAAACAAAAAACTGTTTCTTAACTTAAAACAAACAAAGAGTACCTGTGTACTAATTAAAGCAAATAAAGAGTTTTTTTGTTCTAAAAATGATCACTGATCATTGAGCAAAAAGGATCTAGAAGTTTAAAGCAGTAGCTTTAAATATAAGAACAATCTTTTTCAAATTAAATCACTTTTCATTCAAATTCCAACTTGTTCACTTTGTTCTAGCTTTCTGAACTTTTTTTTGAAAATGTTCTCAGCAAAGGCTTTTTCATCACTTTCTACTGATGTTGAATGCAATAAGTCAGTTGCTTTGTGTGCAATTGTTATCACAACAACTACTACCTACAAGCTAACTGAAGCTAATTGTAGAATGTACCAACAAAATAAATCAGGTGACTTATTGCATTTAACATCACTCGAAAGTGATGACAAAGCATTTGCTCAGAACATTTTCAAAAAAAGTTCAGAAAGCTAGAACATAGTGAACAAGTCGAAATCTGAATGGAAAGTGATTTGATATGAAAAAGATTTGCTCTTATATTTAAGGCTCGTGTCTTAAACTTCTAGATCCTCTTTGCTCATTTTTACAACAAAAAAACTCTTTATTTGCTTTAATTAGTACGCAGGTACTCTTTATTTGTTTTAAGTAAACAAACAGTTTTTGTTTATTCTAATTAGAACAAATTAACCATTTTTAAGCAAAAAAAGAGTCTTAAAGCAAATACTTTTATAAAAACACAATTTTAAGTAAGATTAACATGCATTTCTCCTATATGGAATAATGCTTGATTAGCAAACCTTAAATTCAAAAAATCATATCTTGAAAACTACTCGGTATATTCTTTTGAAAATTTGGATTACAACTAATAAAGAGATGCTCTACCGATGGTAATGATAAAAAAATACTCGTAGAGTTTTTCTTAGATTATTTTGATTTACTTCGAACTTCTTCGAACACTGTTCGAAGAAAAGTTTGCCAATATTCAATTTCAAATTGCATATCATTCTAAAGGGCAAGTCCATCGCTTTAAAATGGTCTTTATTTGAAGGAAATCGGCCTAATAGTTATTGAGTAATGATTTTTTAAAATTAAAGTATTTTAAATTCATTTAAATTAGAAAAAAATTATTTAGTTCAAAGTGTTTTTGTGTTTTTAATTTTTTTTTAGTGCATTTCATTTATCTTACTGAGACGAACAAAATGATATAAAATTTGTTAAATTGTCACGACATGACTTTTTTTTTGTCGCCCTGTGTTATCGCAGTAATTTCAGGTATTCTCCTCATTACATGTACCCGCACCAAGTTTATCCCAACTACGTATCAGGGACTGGTTACTTGATGTCGGTGGATGTGGCCGAAAAACTGTACAAAGCAGCATTGAAAACACCAATTTTTCACTTGGAGGACGTGTATATTACCGGCTTGTGTGCAAAAAGAGCCGGTGTAAAACCGAAAAACAATCCGTTATTTACATATCAGACAATGAATTATGACGTGTGTCTCTACATGAGGCTCTATACAGCCCACCGTTTCACCCCCTCAGATATACGTAAGACGTACACCCTTTTGAAAGATGGTAACGTAACGCGAGAATGCACCTATCACAGAGGTCGACCTAATTTCAGTGTCAACTGGATTATGAACAATATACTTAAAGTAAATAAACCTAACAAGAATAAATGTGAATAGATTCATCTAGTTTTCTTAACTTGTGATAATTAGTGCATTATAACTGTGTTTTTTAAGCTTTGTACAGATCTAGTGCCAAAGTATAATGATTGAGTATTCTTCAAATGGCTTCAACATGGATTTTTTCTGTGAATCCATGTATACTGATAACTGATGTATGAAAATTTTTGGCAAACATTTATTTTTAAATGATTAGTAAGACAGATCTCTATCCGCACATCTCCACTAATAATATACCTCAGGGTTTATTGTTAGATTTCCTTTTAACACCAAAGTACAACAGATTATTAATTTTTTATTGATAATCTAATAGAATTAAATTGACTTTATGACAAAACTAGTGTGATAACGAATTGGAGATTTGCCAATTAAATTAAGTTTTAGCTTCATACCAAATAGAATTTTTTTAAGTGATTATATTCAATTATATGACTTGTCATATCGCACGACATAAGCCACATTATTTATTCAAAAACTCAGTGCCCTGTGTTTTGCCATCGCTGACTGAGCAGACTGATTTTTTTCATGTATTATTTTTACTCATATAGGCACATAATTATTTCAAAAATTCCCAATGTATCGATTATGTAGTTATGTAATTATTTGACATGGTTATTTTAAAGGATAGTGCCTTAATGTATTTTTATTTATTTATTAAATTATTGAGGTGAAACGTCCATTTAAATTGTAAATACGAGAGAATATTTTTTAAATTATTGTTTACGTTTGTTGTATTTGTTTATATTTTTTCATTATATTGTTTTAGTTTATACATACAGGGACATTTTTTAACTCCGAACATAGCTCTATGTCCAATTTAAAAAAGTCTCAGTAGTAAGTCTACAATTTAAGAGCAACGAAATAAATTTTTGTTTCATTTAAATGAAGATGGTGACAACACAAACAGAAAAATTACAGTCAGATAGAATATTAAATACTTTACAGGAAGAAATGAAGACGTAGCAAAAAATTTGCTGAAAATCATAATTTAATGAAAATAATGAACATAACAGAAATTTTTGCTTTTCCTCATGTTTTAGCTTTTTTTGACACGTAAATACGGGTTCAAGTGATTTTTTTAGTTTTTAAAGCATCTTTGACTGTATGCAGGGCTAAAACCGTTGAAGAAGAGTTATAGTGTCTCGGAGTCTTTTAAAGGAAATTTAATTCTCTACAACTTTGTCCTTTTTTAGTTAAAAACATGAGGCGGAAATTACGATTTTCAACAAAATTTTTGCTATATCTTTAATTCTTACTGGGAAGTATTTAATATTCTATCTGTCTGTATTTTTTCTGTTTGTGTTATCATCTTCATTTAAATAAAACAATTTTTTTCGCTGCTCTTAAATTATAGACACACTACTGTTATTCTGCTATCATTGAATAGGCAACAATGCATTGATCTGTGTTTTTTTTTAAACTGAACATAAGGCTATGTTCAAAGTTAAAAAAAAATGTCCTTGTATGTATACTTAATTTATTTTTATAAAATATTGTACCATCGGTGGACATAAACAACTGGGACATCTAAAATTTGCTCATTTTGTATCAATCTTGTCACTTGTCACTCAAAATAAAAATTGTCAGCAATCTGAAGATGACCAATGAAGCTCTTTAAACCTAAAGAAATGCTGTTTTTTTTTTTTTAAATAAAAACTCTTGTAAATGTAGACAGTATTAAAAAATTGAACATTAACTTGATGTTTCTGACAATTATAAATTTTATAACCTTATTTGTAAACAGCCAAATTTACCCGATGTAAAGTTCTGATTGATTGATTGATTGATTATGTCTACCGACTGTACAATTGCGAGCATTAAATTTTGGTAGGTAATCTCATTTTGAATGTCCATCTTTTTATCAAAAAACGTAGTTTCCTTGTGTAATTTTGTCTGTTATCAACTTTCTTTCAAAAATGAATATAAATGTCAAAACAGTACGCCAAAACAAATATTTTATTATGCCGCCAATGTTCGCAATTGTACGTGTTATTTATTTTTTAATTGCTCATAGTTTTTTAATTGTTCTGGAATTTCAAATATTACCAATGTTATCAAAAAAGGATTTTTTATTCTGTACTCTATCTTTCATTAAATTTATTATTACAAAATTATTTCTTAAAATTATAGCCAGCACTTGTTTCATCATGTTTATCTCTGCTCTTTATACAGGGTGTTTTAGAACTCGCGCCCCAGAGAAAAATGACAAGTAAGATAGGATAACAGGAACATGGAAAAAAGTATTTTAAAAAATTCTGCCAAATTTTGACATTTAGTTTTTGATATTTGACTTTTTTATGTCTGTTTAATGTTACCGAGGATCTTTTATATGTTTTTCTTTTCATAAATATTCCCTAAAGGTACAAAAACTTTGCCAATAAAAATCACAAATAACGTTAAACATACTTAGTTATAATTCAGGATACAGCTTCTTTGGCTTCAGTAAATAAACATGTAAAGGTTCCAACTGAAATAAATACAGTGCGATCAAAAAGTCTCTATCTAGCAAGCGTAGAAATTTAAAACGTATGTCTGTGGAAGATAAAATGTCACAATGACAAATGAGAAATGTCAAAATATTTTTTATGTAAATTATGACAGAAAACCGTGGTGAACGATTTTTATGAATAAACACCAACAAAATCTTATTTTAGTTTGTTTTGAGACGTTTCATAGAATAATTCAATTTAATTAGCTGAATGTTTTAATTTTTATAAAATAATTTTTTGACATCTAGATAACATACGAACTGCCATGCAACATACGTCCTCAACTAGGACGCCTACTTGATAGAAAGACTTTTTGATCGCACTGTAGAATCAAAGTGCAAAACTTAAACCCCTACAATTTCGAAATTTCTATAGATAGAATTTTTTACTTAACATTTTTTCCATGTTTCTGGTATCTTATCTTATTTGGCAATTTACTCTGAGGTGCGAGTTCTGAAACATCCTCTAAAAGATCCTGTATGAGAGAATTCATCAATTTATGTAGTTCTTTTTGTAAAGTAGACTTTAAACAATATTACAGTTACTGTTTTAATGAATTTCTTTTTAAATTAATTCCATTACCAACACTCCAACCTACCTATAAAAGTATAGCACCTAGCATCTTTGCATAAACTAATTATTAATTAATTTACGAAAAAAATAATTAGTGCAGTGTAAAGTACAATAAAAATGTGATCGTTTTTCAAGAATACAATTTTTCGAATTTTTATTTAGGTAGTTTTTGAATTTTCAATTTTTTTATTTAAATGGCAACCCACCATGACAGTTTTTATGACAGTTTTTTTTTAATTAAAGATTTGACGCTTTTATGCCTATAGATGACACAAGTAAAGTTTTACCTTTCAGACATGGCGTAAAAACTCTGTTTTTTCGCCTAAGCGTTTTTCACTTACTTTTACTCCTAATAACATAATATACTAATATTACCCGTATTTTTTTAATAAATTGTTAAAGTTAAACCAACTTGCTTAAACCAACAAATACTTAGAACAAAAGTTCTTTTTATTATTATGTTTTTGGAGTTCGTTACTTTAATTAATTAGTTTTTCTTGGTGCTACTCTGTATTCTGTAACTCACTGATTTAATCATTGAATCTTCTACTAAAGTAAAACAGTTTAATCAGCGGTACCCTATTTAAAAAAACGCTTTCGAAACACACAATACAAAAACGTCAGTTTGGTGACAATTTATTATTCATTAAATTACCTCATCAAATTACGTTCAAGGTTTTTTTCTACAGGATAAAATTGCATTTTATTATATTCTAATTTAGTTTCTTTTGGGTAAACTGACTCCACAAAGCATCGCACTCGTTTTTTTATCTTAGGCGGTTTGTGTAGTCAATTTACCAAGCAACCAAATTCTCGAAAAAAAATATCCCGATTAGAAACCTTTTGTGTAATTAATAATTACAGTTGACAACGATCGATAAGTTTGTACTTACCTAAATTATAAATTTTGAATCAACCAAATTCCGAAAAAGGCTTCTTAAGGCCAATGAGATTACAAAAATAAATTAATATTGTATAAAATTTAACCCGCTGTATAAATTTTCTTCTCCTTTTTGATTCATTAATTTTCCTTGGGGCGGCGAGGTGGCTGACGGTGGCGGCACATTGGCGCAGTGTTGTGGCGGCATCGACTTGGCTCCAGAGCTTATTTATTTTTTCTAGTTTTCTCAATGTTCCGTGCAATAACATTTTTTTAATTTTGTGTATCCGTTCAATAATTTATTACTAAAATATTTTTGAAACATACCTACTTATCGACAGAGTGGTATAATTGTAGAAAGGTCTAATTCAAATTACTTGAAATTGCTTCAATATTGGCGAATTATTAATTATCTAATTGCTTTTCTCTTTTATGTGACTAATTAAATTGCTAATGCAGCATTTCCTTTTATTACATATTTTATTGTTACTTAGTTTTCTATTTAAAATATAATTTTTTTGGTAGTAATGCTTGGTTTGATTTTATTTTGAAATTAAATTTTTGATGCGCTAACCCTCATTTAAAATTTCTAATTTTAATTAAAGGTATTGCCATTAACTACTTTCACAGTCTATAGTAAAAGTTCAAATGATGGTCCCATTTGAGATAAAAAAACAATCGATCTTTTTATAGTTTACGCGCAATAAAACTAATGCTGTTTTATATTTGGCGCCCCCAGTATAAGTCGCTGCCAACCTAACAAATCGGCACTCACCATCAGTTAAACCACGTTTTAAAAGTTGTTTGGGTGCTTTCTGTTTAATGTGTGTTTTTAAAATCGTCTTTCATAACTAAAGCGCAGAGTTTAATTGTGATAAAACAACGATACCATTTTACTAACCACAAAAACGCCCCCGGAGATAAAAATCAAGCATTGAGTGGTTTGCTGTCACTGCAACTCTTTACCAGGTTATTTCTTTTGTTTTATTTGTCAAAAAACGTCAAATTTTTGAAACGTAAAAAGTCAAAAGCGAGTATTCAAGGTTTCGAGACTTGGAAGGTGCGACTGTTAATTATATGCACGTGGTGGTTTGGAAGCCACAATGATGTGCACTTCAGACCCCAGAGAATATTGTCCATTGTTATTTTCACGTAATTTTTGAGCATTTGCATTTGTTCACAGGTACATTTGGTTGCAAAAAAATCGGAAATTGTCAAAGGATAAAAATGTTACAATTTTTATATTTATCCACAGTTTGAACTGTCAAGTCAGAACTGACAGTTATTTGTACTAACTACTCACGGAAGTACTCAACTAATTGATTATTATCTTCTTGATTTGCATTTGATGCTCTCGGCATTGCAGAAAAAAAATATTTGAATGCCACAGATGACAAATTCTAAAGATAATTCAATTTTTCGTTTTTATTGCAACCAACTGTAAATACACCTGTTGGTTATTTAGTTTCTCACAAATTGGTTAAATTTCACAGGTGAAGTGCTTTGTTTCAGCATTGTTAAAAAGTAGTTTCACCTTGTGCAATGTTGAATATTTGTGGCGTTTAATCCCAGATAACTTTGTAACGTAATACTTAGATTATTTAGAAATCACTTTTGTACGAAATTGTTTCTTAAATTTGTAACTCAAAATGAATGATTAGATTTCGAATAATTTTACATTTTTTTATAATTTTGTGTGTTTTGACCAGTATGTGATAATGCAATAAAAAATAAAAAAGTAGGCAAGTATGCCTACCTCAGGAATAGTAATATAAATGAATAAAACACAATCAATGGTATAAATTTTTATTATTCACAATCACTAATGTAATATGCTGATTACTAATGTTTTAAAGGATGGGAAACACATCATTAAATCCCGTGGGCAGTAATATCATTTCTGCCGTGATACGGCAAAAGCTAGTAACTAGAGTTACTTGGTTTTGCTAATTTATGGTATTTTTGAAATTAGCGCCAAAACTTACGTACTTAAATATTTTTCGTCTTTGCCTGACGCACAGTTTGACTTATTTGCGTCTCTCATTTTTTTAGTATCTGTAAAAATATCTACCCATACGTCTGTAGAAACTAGCAACTCGAGTTACTAGGTTTTGCACATTTTTATATTTCAATTTTTATTATTTATACGTTTGGTAAAACCTTGTAACTTAAGTTACTAGTTTATAACATATGATCATGCCATGTGTTTATGTTTCATTCAAAACCTAGTACCACAGTAAAATTACATATATTTAATGTATTTCATTAAATTGGGTGCTTAAAATTAAGTGTATAACCAACAAAGTAGTTTTGGAAATGTAGTTACAACAAAAAGGCTAGAGAGTTTTCTAAAATATAATTTCCTGTCAAATTGCATCAAAGTGAGTTACTAGGTTTTGCCGTATTACGGCAGATTTTATCCCTTGGGCGGTAATATACAGGTTTGAATTTTTTGTTATTAAAATTTTTGACTAAAAATGATGTGATTGTGAAGAAAATAGCTTACAAAACTCGGTGGTAACGGCGCGGCGTTAGCCTTGTACTTTATCCCATTTCAGAAATAAATAGAGTCAAAGTGCAAAATTTAAACTCTCAAAACTTTAAAATATTTATAGATACAAACTTTTTTCCATTTTTTTCATGTTCTTATCTTACATGGCATTTGTCTCTGTAGCGTACCTAAGTTCTGACGCACCCTGTATTTTTTATAGTGTTGGGCATAATAGATATATGCATTTCAATAATCGAATGAATCGAAATAATCGTTTGAAATAATCGAATGATCGATTATTGTCCAGAGCGCATGAAGTATGAAATTATGAATTAAAGCTATCACCAAATAAGTAATAACCAATAATTGAATTTGAATATATTTCAGTGAAATATATATGAAATACAAGGAAGCTGTATCCTAAATTGTAAATCTGTTCAATGTTATTTGTGGCTTTTTTTGGCAAAATTTTTGTCCCTTTATTAAATAATTGTAAAAAAAAAACATATACAAGATCATCAGTATCATTAAATAGATATAAAAAAATGTCAAATGTCGAAAAATAAATGTTGGCAGAATTTTTTAAACATTTTTTGATGCTCCTGGTATCTTACCTTACTTGAAAATTTTCTCTGGGGCGCGAGTTCTGGCGCACCCTGTATCATTCATAATCGTCCAACACTAATTTTTTACTTATCACTTGCCTAATGATAGATTTTCAAGATAAAAGTAATTTGAACGAAAAATTCCTAGAACATATTCCGATTACAATTTTCACGATAAAATTAGTCGATATTTTTTGAAGAAATTACCACATCAGACACTTGTAGGTTTAGCATCCTGTCAAGATAATTGTAAAACCTAGATATAGTAAACATATGTTATAATATAAAAATTTATTCATCTTTAAACTGCAATGTTTCTTGTCTCAAATTTTATCAAGCTCGTGGTTTGAATTTTATTCATAATTTTAATATTTTTTCCACGTTCCTGGTTTTTTACCTTACATGGCATTTTTCTCTGGCGCGCCAGTTTTGGTACATCCTGTATAAATTTAATAGATTTTTCTGAAACGCGAAGTCCTATTTCTCAATAATTTGATCATGTGACTTATCACGTTTTTACAATAAGTCCTTCAATTTTTTTTACCCTATACAGGATGATTCAAAAGTGTCGGACTATCTTTTGGGTGGTGATAAAGGACATCCAATTGAGTTAAAAGTTCACATGGCAAAAAATTATTTGAGCTTTTTTTCACCAGATATAACTCTTCAAAGATTAGAGTTTAGATTAAGTTTTTGGTTGTTCCGATAATGTAATCTTTAGTTAGCGGAAACGGCAGATCTTGCATAAAACTGTACAGATACCTGTTGAAAAAAATCACCAATTTGTGTCTTACGGTGTAAAAAACATTTAACAAACTAGCAAATTCAACAATAAATTAAATCTAACAACATCGGAAACAAAAAAACTAACTAATCGAATGATCATGATCGTCCACCTCCTACTTTACCTTCAATACATTTGTTTACTTTATCAAACAAATGTCATTTACTAATTTATCGATATCCCAACGCTATTTGTCGTTATGGCACGCCACTCTTATCAAAAAATGCAAGCCCTGATAAGCACGTGTTGCTTTATAAATTTTGTCGCTGCACTTGGTCGTCACGGCGTCGGTTTGGCTGCAGCAAAGTGTTCGGCATCTCGACGCCGTAGTAATTTTTGATCTAAATTTCTCCTTACAGTCGAGCGGTAGCAGCCCATAGCATCATCTTATGTGATTTTTCCATGATTTCCGTAAAAGTGCACGAGGGCAATCAATTTCTTGACCAACATCGGAAGTTAAGTTAGTGTTGATGTAATTTATTCCATTCATGCAAACATTTCAAATTAACCATTCATTTCAACACAAATTGAAATTTTACAAACTGCGTTCGAGAGCTCACCTTCATTACACGTGGCTTTTTCCGAGAAAAACAATTCGATAAATTTATGTACATCTCAAGAAAAAATCAATAATGTTTAAGTCTGACAGTTTTTGTGAATCTTGTAATCGATATTGCTAGCGCATTGGTCTCGCATTCACAATTTCCAAATATTTCCCTAAGCAAAAAGTCTGTACATCTTTATTTACATTTGTCTCCTTGTTGATAGAAATTTAAAAAAATTTAACTTTAAATTAAATATTTGTTTTCAATTGGCTATTAAACAAACAATAGTTAATTCCACTCCACTTTGCCATAACGAATTCGATTAATATACAAGGTGATTCTTTTAGGGCCTACATTAGAAACTTTTTAACTTCTAATGCAGATAGCAATTTGAAATTTTGTACACAACCCAAATCGACCAGTCTCAGTTCAAATAAATTATTTCCAAAATGGCTGAACTTCCGGAACTACGAGAAATTGGCGCCAACTTTAAAATTTTAAATGGTAACTACTTATTTTTATTGCATTTTTGAATTCTCCTCTGTAAACTGAGTAAAATGTACCTAGTTGTTAATACTTATTTGTTATAGTTGTTGACATATCTCAATTTTTTGGTCAAAATTTTCATTTGTATAAGTTCATTTAAAACATCACAGCTCTTGAACCCTTTGGGAAAAATGAATATTTTTTTTGCATTCGATAACCAAAAGTTCGAAAAGTTTTCTAGATGATCAAAATTGTCAACTGTCAAATTGCAAGGCTAGTATGATTTTTTGAAAATGATCATTAACCAAACAGCTATAACTCAGTTTTTTCAAATGAAATGACTATTTTCTCAACAGCAATCAAAAGTACATCAATTTGTAGAAGGACATTTATCGACATGTTATATACCTATCTCTTACAGTTTTTCAAATAATCACAAAAAACATATTTTTTTTAATTTTTATAGTTAATCACGGAGGTTTTGTCATAATTAATACAAATGTTCGATATGTTTATCATTTTCAAACAGTCCAAAACTCGATGGTGAACTGATTAAGTGGCTTTCATTATTTCATTTGGTTGAAGATTATTAAATGCCGCCTCAATCCTTTCCTCAATTCTTCGTAATTCCGGATGTAGACAAAATCTTATGTACGTATTGATTATTTTCCAAAGCCTACGTGATTAAAACAAGAACACGTTTTTCGTGATTATTTCAGAAACTGTAAGGGATGGGTATAGGACATGTTGATAAAAGTCCTTCCCCAAATCGATGTACTTTCGATTGCCGTTGAAAAAATAGGGTCATTTTATTTGAAAAAACTGAGTTATAGCTGTTTGTTAATTATCATTATCAAAAAATCATATTGGCTTTGCAATTTAGACAGTTGACAATTTTGAAAATTTTAGAAAACTTTTCGAACTTTTGGTTATCGAATGCCAAAAAAATTATTTACTTATCGCAAAGGGTTCAAGAGCTGTGATGTTTTAAATGAACTTCTGCAAATGAAAATTTTGACTAAAAAATTGACATATGTCAAAAACTATGACAAGTGCTAACAACTAAGTACATTTTACTTAGTTTGAAAAGGAAAGTTCAAAAATGCAATAAAAATAAGTGGTTACCATTTAAAATTTTAAAGTTGGCGCCAATTTCTCACTAGTTCAGCCATTTTGAAAATAATTTAATTGAACTTAGACTGGTCGATTTGGGTTGTGTACAAAATTTCAAATTTCTATCTGCATTAGAAGTTAAAAATTTTCTAATGTAGGCCCTAAAAGAATCACCTTGTATATTTAGCACCTAGTTTATTGTTTCAATCAGTTTTATGACTTTGAATTGGTTGTGATTTATCTTTTAGTTTTTAGGTGGTTTATGAGGCTGATAAGCATGACACAGTAGGATTGCGATGGTTGGAAACACTTGAGGCTAAATCCATTAATTTTCGCCTTCCAATTAAATCTTTACCTCGTAATCGTCATGCTCTTGCCTCATCGGCAAGTCGACAGATTGTTAGATACTTTATCATTTTAACTACACGATAACACTTATATGTACAGTTAAGTGTAGCATTTGTTGACTGAAAGGTAGATGAATCGATGGTGAACAAATTAATTTTTCCGTCGTTTCAACATCAGTGAAATAAATGAACTTAAAGAAAAGGTTGTTGCTATTTTTGATTGTTGCTGTGATATTCGTTGCTTCGTTTTATGTTAACAATAAACTACAACCACTTCCAGGTATTAATTATTATTTTATTTTGTCAAAAACTTTGTGTGTTTTTCAAGTTCCTACGGAGGCGGAAGGTTGGGGTCGAAATGTTTCGAGGAATGTCAAGGATTACATCAGCGAAACGGCGGAACCACACATTATGCCAAAAAATTTTTGTAACGAAAAGAGAATCCTCCTAGTATTTATTCACTCGAAGTTTGATAAGTTCGACGCTCGAAGGGCCATAAGGGAGACTTGGGGCCAAAAACGTAGGTGTTTAATTAAACGCAGTGCCTCTGCTGCCGGCAAAGAATTTTTCAGGCTTTGTTGCTAATTTTCTTTTTTCTTTAAGTTTCACTAGCTGTATTTTTGCAGTTTAAAATAGTTTTTTTAAACAATACCAATACCTCTATTTCAGAATTTAGTTTCTGCTAGTTAAAGATTCAGATTATGTAAATTTATTTATTTTTGCTTTTTCTGATCGCTACTATCATCTCTTAAAATTTCTATTTTTTGAACTTACTCTGTATTTACTTTTTGCTCTAAGTTTTCTTTGATATTAAAAAAGAACGTTTCAGGTAGTATGTCGGTATTTGGTCAGGTTAGGTCAAATATTTAGATAATAATTCACATATTGAACTACAGTCGTTTCATTTTCTTCATAAGAGCGATGTTAAAACATCCAGACGTTAATGTATTTGTTCCTGTATGAGACGTATGAGATAGGAGATTAATTTTGCTCTTACGAGTTCAAATCCCACCAGCGTGTAGGATGTTTTCTCCTCTATTGAATGAAGTTGCTTTCATTTTCGTATTAGGAGTTGAGGTAATAATAATTGTTCATAACATTTGTTAATTGCTTATAAATGAGGTGTATTATTTAAAGTAATTGTTATTGTAATGTCACGGAAATTACGTGTGTATGCAAAATATCAACTTGTTTGGAAAAGAAGAGCTGTTTCTTTGAAAGCCAAGTAAAAGCTTTTAAAAATGACTTGCCAAAAGACTATTAACTTCTTCATATAAAAAAAAACTGGCTCCAGCTTCTCTTCTTATGATATTTTAAGGTTATGTAATTGACAGCTGTCACCGCCCATAGCGCCAATGCCGGGGTCAAACTAATCAGGAATGTGAATTAATAATGCAACCGACGCCGGCAGCTATCCCTCTATTTTTTGGGCACCGTTGCCGGCAGCAGAGACATTGCCTTAAGGGGATTCTTACATTTAGGCTGTCACAATTTCTGTCTAATCCTATTTGTATTTTTCTACATGTTAACGCGTGAGCAAGCTTTTATGCCAAATAGAGTTGCATATTCGACTACTCAAGTGATGCACCTCAGCGCATCAGGGGTGCGTTCATAAATATCGCTTTAGTACACCAGCCGAGTGAGATTACACACAAAAGAGGTTATGAGGTTTGATACACGGAATTTTGGACGACTTCTCATTCGATTGACATAAAAATGTAAAACTGGCCTTAGGCAAGTAACCTCACTTTCGGTTTTTGTAATTTTTATTCTGAGAACGAAAGAAAAAATGACAACAAATCAAAATAATTTATTGATCCTATATAAAAACACATATTGCTGGCATTATTGTTTCGGAAAATCGACGCCAAAAATAAATTTCAACTAAAACTTTCAAATTTTAGTTCCAAACGTCAATCATAATGACAATAAAACGTCGCTTACATTGACATTTTTTGAACTGATATAAATTTAATGTCCAAAATTCCGTGTTTGCCACTGTATTAGGTTAGGTATTTTTCCAAGATCTCTTTGGATGGCACTATTTCGTTTATAAATGAAACGCGCTGGAGCAACACTCTGACGTCAAACGCTTACATTTATGAACGCAACCCAGCGTTCTGTATTTATTTGGTTGGTTATACTGAGTCACGATAATTCTAATCTTTTTTTTTTCAATAAAATTTTCTGAACAAAGTACAGGGGCCTGTATTTTACTAACAAATTTTAAATTTTGATGTATTCACAACGTTCTAAACTAATTAATTGCCTTGCTTATTTTTTCTGTAAACGGCTATTTATGCCGTTATTTTTAGCAAAACCTAAAAATTTTTCAAGGTTCACTCTTAGTTGTAACGAGTTATGTCATATATGTATATTTTTTTCGTAAAAAAAATATTGAATAGGTAAGCCACCGTTTTCAGACAAACAACACACATATTGAAGTCTATTGGTCCTCTGGAAGAATCCCCTTAATTTAAATAGCAACCAGTAATTACTTTGTTTATGATGGTTATACTAATGAATCAGTCTCTTATCATTATTCAAATATGTATATGTTATTTCATTTATTATTGATAAGGGCTTTGCTAAAAAATATACTAGATGTCCTTTTCCACTTTTAGGTGATAATGTAAGTTTTTATTTTTTGCTTGGAGAAGATAAAAATAGACAGCATGAAGTACAAGTAAGTCTGCGAATTTTATTTTTAGACCTATAAAAATCGTTTCTTTTTTTTCTAGCTAAAGTTGAAAGATGAGAGCGAAAAATATAATGATATAATCCAAGAACGCTTTATAGATTCCTACAATAACTTAACTTTAAAATCTATAAGCATGTTAAAGTTGTTTTATCTACATTGTGTAGATTCTTACCAATACTTAGCAAAAATCGACGACGATGTGTTTTTGAACATCGCAAACTTACTTGAAGAGCTTAAAAATCGCAGTATTACCACAAATGTGTTACTTGGACACATCTACAATGGTACAAAGCCATTTCGAGATTCCACCAGCAAATGGTAATTTTTGTCTCTTTATTTTTTGTTTTATTTATTGTTTCTTTTTTTCAGGTTTGTGCCTTATGAAGTGTACCCAGATGATATTTACCCACCTTATTTGTGCGGGGCAACGTATATAATGTCAGCCGATGTTGCAGTGAAACTTTATCATTTCGCTTTTGAAACGCCGATTTTCTATATTGAAGATGTTTTTATTACGGGAATGTGTTCAAAAAAAGCCAATGTAACACTGGAAGATAATAGGAATTTTAATTGCTATCCTGCGAAAAAATACGTATGCTTTAATAAACATAAATACGTTTATCATTATTTCGGCCCAAAGGATATCATAAATGGGCATAGGCTGTTAATAGACAAGATGTGTCCTGCGTCTGGGTCATGGCTGGTATGTTGCTGCAAAAATAAGACTATTTTTGCTTCATTGCTATTTTTAGATTTCTTTTTATAACGTTTCTTGTTGCGGAAGTATAGTCGTACTTATTCTCTAAGATCATAAAATTAATCTATTGTGTAAATGGTAACCGATATTGTATTGAACAGAAACCCCAGTCGTAGTTGTATAATCTTAGAAAATAAGTACAACTATATTTTCGTACGTTTTTGGTAAACCACTTTTTTTTAGGAATGGTTCCACTCTTTTTTTTATTGAACACAAAGGACTTGAGCAGCTACTTAAAATATTATGTGATTGAGAGTATTTTTTTAAATCTTTTTGTTTATTCCTTATAAAAAAGTAAAAGTCGTTTTTAATATCTTACGGCGTTTTATTTTTTTCTTAATAAATAGAATTGGTCTAGAAAATAATTTTCTCACCCAAAATGGACGATTACTTTTGTAATCAATAAATACAAGGTGTTTAGGAACTTACGCCCCAGAGGAAAATGTGAAATAAGATAAGATAGAAGGGAGATGGAAAAAATGTTTAAAAAATTCTATCTATAAAAATTTCGAAGTTAGAATATGAGAGTTAAAATTTTTCACTTTAACCCTATTTATTTGTGTTGAGAAAATAATTTTACATATTTTTTGCTACAAGCTATTAGAACAAGAATCAAAGAAGCAGCAATCTCAATTGTAATTATGTTTGACGTTATGTCTGGCTTTTATTGGAAAATTTTGGAACAGCCTTATAAGATTGTTTTTTAAAAAATGGTGATTTATAAAATACCTATTTAACTCAAAAATAGCTTTCTAACCAGAGTTTGAAAAATATTTACCTACGAAAATTGAAAAAGTAAACCTGGTGCTAATATTAACTTTGCTCAGAGGCTTACACCGTGCCTTCAATTAAATTTTCAATTAAAGTGCTCTCTGATTTTATAGCTATTAAAATAGTAAGAGTTCAAATACTTTTTGCTTTCAGCGTTGTGCAGTTCTCACTATAAATTAAAATATTTTTAAAACGGACCATTTTAGGGGTATTAAAGGTTATGCGTTTTTTATTCGAAATTGATTACTCTATCGATTTAAGCAATAAAATATTAGAGTTAAGAAGCCAAAAAATTGAAAAACAGAAAATGTGACCTGCAACTGCTGGAACCGGAAATTGAGTAGATGTGTCCAGTTTTTGTGATCACTAGTTTAAAAGATTTGTTTTCGCAAATAACTATTCCAAATTTTATAATATTAGGTCAAATGGTTCCAAAGTTATTACAAAAAAAAAAACGAATTTCCATACCAAAATTCCTAGGGCTGCAAAATTCTCATCAGTAGAGATAGGACACGGGTTTTTATACATATTAGAGGTCGTTTTTGAGGTTCAAATATTGCTTCATATTTATAAATAACCCTGTATAAAACACAAATCGTTATTTTGCAAATAAAAAAACACGCTGCAGTGTGCGTAATTTGGTCTTTATAGCACGCTGAATTTTAAAGTTGTCTAGGTAACAAGAAATACGTAAAAACGTAAACTACTAACCGTCTCTAAGAAAACGATTCACAAACAACCTTTGATAATTTTATTGTGTAAATTCACATTTTTTCAATGCTCATAAAAGATCGTAAATGGGCAGGTTTAATAAAAAATAGCGTATAACACTCGTTTATAAGCCTTTAAAACTAGTATTATAAAATACTATTAGGGCTTGTTTAAATTATATCTAAATACAATTTAACAAAAAAAAGAAAAATAATTTTTGGGTATAAAAAAAACCTTGAAAAACTGGATGTGTCAAAAATTTCCCCAGGTTAAAGTGCCAACGGGAATCGCTTGAACTTAAGAAATACGTAGGCGAGAAAAGGATTTTTTTCTATCGAGACGGCGATGCGGATAAAAACGACATTCGAATTCAGCAGAAAATTTTACATGACAAAAATCGCGTGTCCTCGAGTCCATGTTGAATTTGAGTAGCTTATTGCTACCCTGACTAATTAAATAAGTTATTTCATGATTTTTTTTTACATTTAGTATTTTTTTCTCCATAATGTTGTAAGTATCAGCTCTCCAGTGGTTTTGCTTTCCATTTTTTAATCATTTTCTAATGTAGGTACCATATTCGTATTTGAAGAAACTAATCTTATTTGTCTTTTTTGATTATTATTTACTTTAATTATGAATTTTATTCAAAGTCCTTTGAACTATCCTTTTTTTATGGGTTAAAAGTTTTAAATCATGCAAATTTTTGGAAACATTTGCACGTGATATTTACAAAGTGACATTGTAAAAAATGTCAAAGCAACTTTTCCCGACGTGTGAGTATAGAAAAATATCATAAGACGTCTCCTAGTGTATAAGTAATAGTTACAGTTGTAAGTGAATAATCCTAGTAATCAGAAATGTGTCCAAAAACTTTTTTTGAAGTGTTGTGTCAACAAGTTCGACTTACTTTCTGTATATTTATATTGCAGGTGTAATAAATAACGTTGTGTTTTTAAAGCAAAATTCTTTCTACAGTGGAGTTGCGAAAAACACACAATGTATAATCTAAGAAGGAAATTTTACATTTTATGTATTTGCTTCGCTATTTATTCAGTACTTAGTTTGATGGCCTATAGCTACTACTTTTCTAGTAGGTAATTCTAAAGACCAATTACCGCAAATGTGTTAATAAATAATTTTAAGGTTCATCTGATCTAGACCTAAATATTTCAAGAAATTTGAATGATTACATAAATAACAGATTGTCACCGCATATTCTGCCAAAAAAAATTTGTTCCCAAAAGAAGTTACTACTAGTAATTGTGTGTTCCAGGCCCGACGATATACAACTTCGTAAAGCTATCAGAGAAACATGGGGGAAAAAACGTTTTTTCATATTTATTAGTTCTAAATTTGTGTTAAATTTCTTTGATTTTAGATGATGACGTATCGTTTTATTTTCTTTTTGGTGAATTTAAGAAAAACGAGCAAATATTCCAAGTATCCAAATCTTTAATTATTATTATGAAAAAACGCTGACATAGTTTATTTAGGCCATGATCGAAGGAGAACAAGCCCTTTTTGATGATATCATACAGGAACGTTTCATCGACTCTTACAACAACCTAACACTAAAATCTGCCTATATGTTAAAAGTTTTTAATCGTTATTGCTACAAATCGTTTAAATATTTAATGAAAACCGATGATGACGTTTTTGTAAATGTCCCACGTGTTTTACAAATGCTTGCAAACAGAAAAGAAAATACCAACGTGATTTTAGGGAGAGTGAGGCATGGGTGGCCAATCAGAGACCCAGACAGTAAATGGTATGTGACATTTTGTGAAAACCTTCATTTATTTTTTGTGAGGTATGTGCCGTATGAATGGTACCCTGAAAAAGAATACCCGGCCAATGTTTGTGGACCAGGGTACATAATGTCGCGCGATGTGGCCAAAAAACTCTACAAATGTGCACTGAACGAGAGTTTTTTGAACCTTGAAGATGTTTATTTGACAGGAATTTGTGCCAAAAAAATGAATATTTCGCTTGAGAATAGTTATTTGTTCACATGCAATTATAGGCCTTCCCATTTTTGTTATTACAAGAATTTCTTTACTCTGCATTATTACGATGCAGAAGAAATAGTAAATGCTTATGAAATGTTGAACACTAACTATTGTAATGGATTCTCTAAATTTGATGTTACGAAGGTTAGTCGTCATATGAATTTTGATGATCTGAAAAATAGATTTGTTTTGTAGCCATGGACTTTCTTTTTTAATTTGTTCTAATTTTCGAGCGTCGTTTTTGCTGTTAATATGACTAAATAAAGTGTTCTTATGGAGAGTTATCAAATACATATTTCAAAAAAAAATCTATTAATTTTTATTAACCCAAAAGTAACGTTAAACTACATTATATGGCAACACTCACATATAATTGGATATTACCAACTACTCGATCATTTTATAAAAATATTTTTTTTATATATTTTTTTGGAAAATATTATAATGTAAGTCTCTTGTTTTGTGGATTTTTTTGTGAATTAAATTATACAAGCTGGTTCAGATCTTACGCCACAGAAAAAAATGTTAAAATATCTTATCTTACTTGGCATTTTTTTCTGGGGCGCGAGTTATGAATCACCCTGTATTGTACATTCCTAAACCTTCAGTTCACTATTCATCGTCAGATATTTTACAAAAATTGTCTAATGACTTTACAATTGACTTCATCATTTTCTTCTCACGTTTCATTTCTTTTCTGATTTTTTTCGAATATTTACACAACTCATTTTGCTTAGTTTCCATATCCACGTCCTCAACCCTCAATTTCCGCTTTTTACAATTCTCCTCAGTGGCCATTTGCTCCCTCACATCTTCAATAAATTGAGCAGTTTTTGTTTTTTTGTTTTCCAACTTTCGCTTCTTTTTTAATTTCTTCCTTTCCGATTTAGACAAATCATCAAACGTTTTTTGTGCCTCTTCAAAACTTCGGTGATCACTTGAATCGTTATTTGAGTCTTCAAAATCTTGTTCAATCCCTTCATCGCAAGAATTTGAGTTATGATCAGCTAACACTGGATTATTACTATTTTCTTCTTTAATACTTTCATGACTTGTGTCTGCTTCAGGAGTGTAATATTTAACAACAGCCTCATCATTGAAGGAAACACTCTTGCGCTTGTTTTTGTGTTTTTTAGAACTAGGACTTTCAAATTCCTGAGGTGATGTATTGTTCGTAGTTTCTTCTTTATGCTTTTTTAGTTTCTTGATTTTTTTCTCCAAATTACTGGTATCATCAGTCAAAGAAACGTTTTTCATTTTTTTGAGCAACATTTTCTCTTGCTTTTCAATTCTTGACAATTTTCCACCTAATTTTAAACCATGTCTTGCACCCCTACAGCAAAAAATTAATTAAATATCTCTATTTTTGTCCAATGCTTACTTATGAGCAGTTCTGCCTCCACACGCTGCAAATAATTCATCATCAGTCAAAGAACTACAAGAAGCAAACTTCTCAATAGGCGTAACATTGTAAGTTTCAACTTCACGTCCAGTAAGTTTTGCAGACTTCAAAAATGAGCCATATTCTAAATGTTTATTCTTTTTGAGTTCTTTCAGTGAATAATTTTTTGTGGTGATTTCAACAGATTCTTCTTTCAAGTGCAACTTCACCTCATCTTGATCCACTTTAACCTAAATTGTACATTATAAGGTAAACTAAACTAAATAAACAGATTAATTTCGTAGTTACGTTTATGTTACTGGCAGCATTGTTAAAAACCCTTTCCCACCAGTTATTGGTAAATTGATCTCCAACTTCATGGCCAATTCCAGTATTGTCGAATTTCAATTTTGGTTTTAAGGCTTCTGAAATTCCATCCTCGTTTTTCCCTAATCCTTTACCTAAAAATTAATGTAGTATTTTATTAGTTTTCTCAAAAATTATCGAATATTTAAGAGGTTAACTTGATCGTAATAAAATTGCTCATATCGTTTGTAAACAATAAACGAAGAAAATTACCATCTTTCCAACCGTATTTTACTAATTGCTTTTTCGCAAAATCCATCTATGCACGTGGGCTTATGGCCCATTTGACGTAAATAATCAAAACAACAAAATTTTGATGTTTGACAGTGACAGTTGCACTGCGTTTTTTTGGTTGCATACTTAACAACCTCACCAAACTTCAAGAACTGTAAACAGAGAGGTTAACTACGTTAAGCCCAAGCCAATAATCTGTCCGCTCATGACGTCACCACGAGTCTTGGTCTGTGGAGGCGCCTATTCTAATTCATAGCCACAAAAATAGTCGCAATGGCAGAGGCAATAGCCTTTAGGGGAATGTGGTAACGCTTAGGCGAAAAACTGTGGTTTTACTCCATGTTTGAAAGGTTAAACATTTACTTGTGTCATTTAGTCATAAAAGCCTCATTTTCCTGGTGTTTGCGGATGAAAAACGATTTTTTATATGTTTTTTTTTTACGTTTTAGTCTGTACTTATTGTTTTGTGAAATCATTTAAGTTCTAATTTTTTTGATTTTTAGATTTTTAAAAAACCCGTTATTTTTTTGCCTGCTTTATCGAATGGCGTTGGTTCCATTTTTATATTTCAATTAGAGGCCAAGATGTTGATAATTGTTTGTAACGATTATTAATTGTTTATGAATTATTATAATTCATTTTTTATTTGTTTTGATCCATACGATGTGTTACTTTCTGAAATATTTTACAATCTTTTTTTAACACCCTGTATAAAAGGTCATATAGCGTCATAGAAACATACAGTAAGTCTCCGGATTGAGTTTACAAGAGGAAAAAAAAATCTTTGATTTTAGGCCAAAACTCCAAAGGAAAACATTTTTTGCTTCATCTGAAACCAGCAAATTTGTAATTAAAATTTCATTATTCTAACTCAGTAGAAAGAAAAAGATATTTTTCTTTTGATTTTGGACTTATAATCATTTTTCTCTGCTTTTTAAGTCTTATGATATTGGCGGTTGTATTATTTTGACAATGATGTCACTTTGAGAAATGAGTTTACTCAAGTTAAATAACAAAAATACAAAAATGTTTGTGAAAAACATAATTTTAATAAATGGCAACTCAAAGAAACAGCTTTAGGATAAGAAACAAAGTCATTTTTAACAAGAACTATCATTATTTAATTAGTAAATTAATTGTCAAAATGACATATAGTTGTCAAATAAATAAAACCGCCAATGTGATAGAACTTAAAAAGCATAGAAAAAGTAACTTTTCTGTTCACTGAATCAGAATAATGAAGTTTTAAGTACAGATTTGCTCGTTTCAGGAGAAGCAAAAAATGTTTTGGCGTAAAATCAAAGATATTTTTTTTTTCCTTTTGTAAACTCAATACGGTGACATACGTATACGATAATCCGTGTTTTATATGTGGGAGTAGAAATAGTATATTAAGAATCAAGAACGGTAAGGACATTTCACCGATCGAAGACAATCATTGTCTGAGATCGGTAAGTCCTTAACGTTTTTTTTTTGTGTCTCCAAGTTTACCATGATTTATGGCTAAGGATGATTGCCGTCGAAGTACTGATCCCAGATGCCGGGCTCCGTTTATTGGCATGACATTTACAAAATTACCGAGTGTACATCATACAACAGAAAAAATATACAATTAACTCTAAAGAAGCCTTAATTTACAAAATGATTGTTTTGGTGTTTTTTTTGGTCTTATTTATAGTAGAATCAAGATCTTTAAGGCAGAGGGACAGAGATGTGACAGAAACAGACAGTATATACGACCAATTCGGTATTTAAATGCAAACCGGTTGCCTCATATTGCAACCACCGCTGGCTAACTGGTTATGCAGGCTTGGTTTCAAAAACATTTATTTTTATTATTTATTTATTTATTTATTTTTAAAAACGTACTAGTTCGAATTAAAAAATAAAAATTAAAAAAAATGTTCTCTTCAGCTAATAACAATTTAATGTATAATAGTATATTATAATACTAGTTTATAAACAAGCCTTTAAAACACGCACAACGGATTTAAGAGCACGACGCGTCAGCGGAGTGCTTTTAACGTCATAAGTATTTTATAGGCGCTTATTAACGAGTGTTACACGCTATTTTTTATTATACCTGCCCATTTACGATCTTTTATGAGCATTGAAAAAATGTGAATTTACACAATAAATTTAATTAATTTACAAAGGTTGTTTGTGAATCGTTTTCGTAAAGACGGTTACTAGTTTACGTTGTTAAGCACATTTTTTCACGTTGTAATTGGTCCAGACATTTCACTATTTCTTGTTACCTAGACAACTTTAAAATTTCACCGTGCTATAAAGGCCAAATTACGCACACTGCAGCGTGTTTTAATTTAGGATTATGATGCAGGTATAATAAAAAATATATTAAATTTTTATCACCCAGCAAGAACCACGTTTAGGTATGAGGACGTTTAGCCAAAAAATAAAAAATAATACGCACTTAGCCAACCCTGATTACAACGGCACGAGACGGGCCACAAGTCATAACCGAACCAGACGCAATTGACCAGTTTAACAAGGTGGATTTTTTACCCTTTGCTGCCTCGAAAACAAAATTGGTCGATTGTATCAACCACGTGTGAATTTTTACGACTAAGGACAAAAAAAGGGACTCGAAGCGATCGCCTGACGCGCGTCTTTTAAAAATTGAACCAAATATACCGGGTGGGGCATCCGTTACGCCCAAAAAGAAAATCTCCACTTCTAATTAAATAAAATTTTTGAGTTTTTTTCACACTTACCTGGTCATTAATAAGGTACATTCTCTAATTTTTTGGTAATTTTTCATTCACAAACAAAGCCAAAAAAAATAAATAGTAATTTTCTCCCAAAAAATTTAATTCTAGTTTTTATACTGACCTACGCAGATTCACTTCCTACAAAATTTACAAAATCAGAAAAAAAAAAACATCAATTAGATTTTCAATTAAACGCAATTTTTGATCTTAACTTTAAAAATCATTTCTATTTATGACCTGCTACTTGTGCCATCGTAAATTTAGATGACAATGGGGAACTGCAATTGGGGTAAGATTCCAAGGTTTACAACAAAAAGACCCTTTAAAGCGGTCGGCTACCAGTAAATGATTCTTTTGTTGGTAAATTATACCATTTTGTCTAAATCACGGGTCTGGTTTGTGTTTAAATAAAAAAAAGCGATTATTTGGATAACCAAATCAAAATTTGAAATTGAATATCAAAGTTTGATGCGCTGACAGGTACAGATTTATTTAGTGTAAAAACTTTATAGGTAAATTAACAGAAAGTATTCATAAAACACACAAAAAACTGTTACCGACTCATTTATTATACAAAAAAAATTGAAAAATTCTCAAATTATATCACATCAATAATTAGTTAGGTATATGAAATATCGCCAGTTTTAATTAATTTGAAGTCGCGATTTATCAAGTGCGCGTATCCGATGCCCCGCCCGGTACAATGCAACTTAATAAAAATTGAATTCGGTTTTTATTTTAGATGTTTATTTTTGGGTATACATACGTACAAATATTTTACAAAGTAATTATGTAATTTAACTTAAATAATAATCGTCATAATTTACACAATCATAAACTAATTTACATAAAAATTATATATAAGATAGAATTTTAAGTCTACCTGGAATATGGCTTAAAAAATCAAAAACTCCTATAAAGAGCTTGCGTGAGTCTAGGCCTGAAATTTACTCTGTTGATTGTACTGTACTGCCCCTTGTAATCAACATCAGAATTAACAAAATGTTCTTGTGGGGTACTATAGGGAACAGCTTCATATCTTTCTCTCGTTGGCTTGCCTTGATAATAATCCGAATTCGCACCTTCAAGTACATACCTCGGTCTCTGGTACGAATTATAATTACTATATTCATTATTTGCATTACTAAATCCAGTTGGGAATCCCCTAACCGGTATATTAGGCAAAGTAGGATTTAGCGCGTCGTTCAAGGTGACATCATATTCATCTTCTATATCCAGAGGATTAGGTTCAGGAAGTTTGGGTTTTTGAGTCGTTCGCGGTCCTAAAAATTCTTTACTAGGCTTAAGACTTGGTCGAGAAGGAGTTTGGGGTCGACTTGAAACTGGAGCAAATTCTTCTTGGACGTTGCTTACGTATTTTTGACGAAGAGGTGTTTTTATTACGACTGGGGATGGTTTAAATGCCGGTTTAGTGCTTTCAGAAGTTTCTTCCTCTTTTGGTTCAGGCTTTTTTTCTATTGCTTTTGCCCCCACAGGTTGTAGACCACGAGAGGCAAATGGATTACCACCACGACTAGGCAAAAACGGCCTTTTTACTATCCTAATAATAGATTCTGGACGTAATTCTTTCTCTGTTGTTGTGCTAGGTGGAGGACGTGTGGTGGTGGTAGTACTTGTCGTTGTTGTTGTGGGTGTTGTGGTTGTGGTTGTCGTTGTAGTTGTAGTTGTAGTAGTTGACTTTTCTTTCGGTTTTTCCGATTTTACCGCTTTCGGTGTTTCTTTATTTTCATATTCGTAATCGTCGTAATAATCTTCAAGGGGCGTTTTTTTATTTCCCGGTCTTTCACGATGGTGTGAACCATATTTCGGTTTGTGGTTTCTTCTGGGAACATCTTCTTCATAACTCACATCATCGCGGGATGACTGAGATGCTCGTAATCTTGAAGATGAAGAAAATGGTTTTCGTTCACTCTCCACTTCACGTGTGGTTGTATGTCGTTCATTTTTTCGGTGTGTTTTAGGAATGGTTTCTTCATAATCGTCGTAGTATTCTTCATCTTCAAATGGAGGTGCTTTAGTCACTGCCGGTTTATAAGCGTATTTGCTTGCTTCATTCTTGGGGACTGGTGGTTTAATTTTTGGGGCAGCTCTAGGTCTATCATAAATCGAACTACCACTTGTTGGTTTTATCAATGGTTTATCACCTACATTTTCAAGTGTTGAGGGTTTATCATTTACTTCTTCTTCTTCGTAATCATCTTCAACTGGTCTTCGTGAGCCACCTTTAGGACGACTTCTTCTCCTATCTTCCTCCTCTTCTTCCTGGTAGTCATGTGTTGGCCGTCTCTTATGATGTCTCCTATCACTTGTTCTTTTATTTTCTGTTTTTCTATCGTTTTCTAATTTATCATCTTCTTCGTGTTTGTCTTCATCATCATACTTTCTTCTATCTTTATTATTATGTCTCCTATCACTTGTTCTTTTATCCTCCATTTTTCTATCGTCTTCTAATTTATCATCTTCTTCGTGTTTGTCTTCATCATCATACTTTCTTCTATCTTTATTATTATGTCTCCTATCATTTGTTCTTTTATCGTCCATTTTTCTATCGTCTTCTAATTTATCATCTTCTTCGTCTTCATCATCATACTTTCTTCTATCTTTATTATTATTATTTCTTCGTCTGTCCCCAGCTCGTCGCCTCCCGGGCCCTCTTCTTTCATATCTATCATCTTCATATTCTTCATAGTCATCCTCATAAACTGGTCTAGGTCTCGGTCGTGGCCTCTTTCTTCTCCTCGCTTCCGACCTTGGTGGCCTTTCTTCGTAATAATCTTCATAATCATCGGCATAGTCGTAATAATCGTACTGTGGCCGTCTTCTTCGCATAGGTCTTCGTCGCCCTCCTGGCCTCCGTGGACTCACCGCCGCAGGGGGCGGCTGTGGCGGCGGTGTGTAAACTACCAAAGGCTTCGGAGTTGTGGTTGTGGCTGCTTTATATAGAGCATCATTCCTAGAATTTTTTTATTAATATAACGAAATTAGGATGGGTTTATACACCAACCTGTGCCAATATTTCTTGGAATTGACGCAATCCACCTCGGACACGAAATGGCATATAAAGGTTTTCTGGTCAAAAGCGGTATAATTTGCACATAAAAAGTCGTATCTTGTTCCGAAAAGACAGTGGTGGTAGACCTGCAATAAATTATACAACCTTGGCATCAAGAGGTATTTTTGAAAATGGTTAGATGTATGTTGCAACTATAAGTCTAGATATCTACTTACATAACGGAATAAAACGAAAGTTCGACAAATTGCATTTCTCAAGCTGGCATGAAATTTTCGAGAATGTAATGCTAATAGAAAAACTTTGAATTGTAAAGCTGTTATTGAATTGTTAAGTGTGAGATATAATTGTTGTGTTCATTTAAAAAAACCCTCAAGAGTGCTTTGACAAATATTTGTCAAGGCGACAGGTAATTGAAACACATTAGTGGACGACATACGTGTTTTTTTTTATAAATACACATTATTTTGCACACAATTTTTGAGAGATGAGTAAGATGTTTCAATTTTTAATTTGTTTTTTGGTTCGAGAAACCTTAAAATTTGCAAAGTGTGTCAATTACCAGGAAAATGTTTATTGCTAAAAATGTCAAGGACACTTTTGTATACTTTTATGCAACAAGATGATTCTTGCTGATTATTTATTATACAACCTTTTTAGAAGACTCATTCATAATTCATGTAAAATTTATTTTTTTTCAAAAATAAAAACTTTGAGGAAATGTTTTATATAGGTGTTCCGTTTTTATTGTTATGTTGTTATTGTTATATCTAGCGATCAAGATAATTTGTAATCGAGTTATCTTTGAATCCGAAAACGTATGTCTGTGAAACGTCAAATAAAATGACAAGTCGAAAGGTAAAATGTTATGATCAAAAAAATTCAATAACTAAATTTATTACCTTCAAAAAACCGTTAACTGTTCTATTATTATACGCCAGCGACTAATTTTAGCCCATTTTGCCGTTTTATCTTTCGTTTTATTTGACGTTTCACAGACGTTTTCGAATTCAAAGATGACTCAATTACACATTATCTTGATCGGTCGACCATACACGAAACTAGATCATAACGCACAATTACATATGCGCGAAAATTGGCAATATCGTACGACGTCAGAAACTTGTGCGATTTGTTTTCGCGCTGTGTGTTAGAAATCTAACGCACAATTCACACTCAAATGTTTTGTATTTTTTTGTTTAACGTATTTTTTTTTGTATCCATTATAAAAAATGAATCGTTATGAAAAAAAAATATGTTTGTAAGAAAAAAATTATTTATGGTCGTAGGAAAAATAGTGTACAAAACTTGTAGGAAAGTGTCTAACGCACTCGCGGTATTGCCTGTACTCGGCTAACGCCTCGTGCGCAACTTTCTCGCTTGTGCGTTATTTATCACTTTCCGTGCTCGTTATGTAATATACTGTTTTATTGTTTTTTGTAAATAAAATTACAAATTTTGGTACAATGGATAACCTTTATACAATCAAATGAATTCAAAGATAAAATGTCGAAATTTTTACTCAGGGGTGTCCTAAACTGGAGGGGTTCAGGGTAAAAATTACCCTAACTATTTTGACTGTTGGTTCTTGTCAGTTTTAGTACAAAATTTTAAATCCCATAGTTTTTCACAAAAAAGAGGTCTCTTGCGTTTTTTCGATACAACTTTTTGAGTAAAATCAGTTTACAATTTGTTTTACAGAACATAAAGAGGATAAAAAATAAAAAAAAAAAAATTAAAACGCCCGTGATTAAAAATTTCGACAACTGATCTTTGAATTCGTTTAGGTGTTTAAAGGTTATCAGCTGTACCAACTTTTGTAATTTTACCTATTCTGTAAGAATGGGAAAATCCCGTTGAAAAACGCATCTCTTTCAGGGGTGTGTATAACTCGCTTACATAACATTTTTTGATATATGTTCATAGGAACCTTGAATCTTAAAATTGAATATTCTATCACCTCTTTAAATTTGTAACATTAAAAATGGAACATCCTTTCGCGGCCAGAGTCAGGTTGAAATCTGTGTTTTTTTGCATTAGACCGCGTCAATTTAGAAGAAAAGGTCGACGTTTCGCCCGCTCTTGTAAGGGGCATCTTCAGGATAAGAAAGGGAGAGAAAGGGAAGTTATGGCACTGTAACTCAATATCTGAACGATACCAGAGGCGATACCATAACTGTTATGGTTTCGCCTCTGGTATCGTGCCATATTATTTATGGAAATTGTGAGTTTTCTATGACAATTTGAGAATTGTCCCGACACTTTTGAATCACATGTACATACGTATAGTTGTTTTACTTTTCTTTATTGTATTCGAATTACCTAAGTATCTTCATATTTTTCAGTAATTTTATTTGTTAACACTAAACAATAACATCATTTGGAACAATGCATAGGAAGTAAAAGTGCACTTTTCCCAAAATAAATTTTCTTCGATAATAGTTATTTTTGATGTTTTAGTAGTGGTTGTAGAAAAAGAATGTTATGTAATTTATATTGTCTGATAATAGCAAGGGAAAGTGATGCATCTAGAGGCTACATATGGAGCATTTCCGCAACAAAATAATGGAGATCCTTTTTTCTCACGTTGGTTCCTTTATAAATTATTCACCTAACATCATCAATCAGAGATAAAATTTCGACTTCTGACATAAAATTTCATTATTCTCCACGAGGAAAGAATACAAATATTTCAAACAAACTACACATTCTATTAAAGAACCACCAATCTCATGTCCATAATCACGTTTTATTACTTCGTTTTGTTAAATTTAAATGTCAAAATTTGTTTGCTTCTGTACAAGTCAGGTTTTTAAATAACAATCCTGTTGTATTTAAAATTCATGGCCGTTTTCTTTTTTTTTTGAGTGTTGTGTTTTATATCACTCACTGTCTACCACTTGTTCTTTTTAATTGTTACAAGCAGTACAAGAGCGTCAAAAGCTATCTTAACAATTCGTGTTTTATTTAGAAATTTCCATTTTATCACTTGTAACAAAAAGCAGCTTTAGTGCCTGATGGTAAGTCACCAGAACAATTTCACTGTCGGAGTGAAAGTGAATAAGGATAAAAGTCGCAAGGTCAATTTTGTAGTGACAATTTGAGTTCTTTTACCCAAGATTTTATCTAAATTTGAAGAGCATTAAAATGCACTTTGATTAAATCTAGCCATAACCAAGCGTCAATTTCGTAACATCCAAGAAATTTCAAAAAGACCTTCAGAGATTAACCTTAACAAATATATTAGAAAGCAAGTGTAAAAATGCAGTAGATACTTTTATAGTGCAATATTGTAGAAACTACCTTGCATAACAAAATGTGCTCTTGTTACCTGACATTTGTGGGGCACGCTGGCATAGAACCCATCGTGGAGACCATCGCACTTAAAATCGATGTCTTCGGGCACTCTTTCGTAGAAGGGGTATTCGGAGAGGTTGTATCCGTTCAGTTCTTTGGGCAAATTTGGGTCCCAAATGTAGTCCACTTGGGGTATTCCCGTAAGAGTGGGTTTGGTCACGTTCGAGTTTGAACTCTCAGTGCTTGCTTCAGTTGCACTCTGAAAGAACACTTGAAGGTTAACTTGGGAAAAATGATAGGTACTGTCATAAGTTATCACGATATGTAACAAATGTAAAAAAAAAGAAATAATAGAAAGTACAATATTCAGACCGCAACGAAATTCTTGGATAATTATACGCATAAATATTGAAGTCGACACTAAGATAATGAGTTGGTTTCAATATAATCACTTCGGTAAATTGCTTAATTTAATAGATGTTATTGGCAGCATGTGTGTATAGCTGTGCCAGCAAGGACAACAAGCTTAAGAAAATCCTTATGTAACAATAGTTAAAGGTCTAAAATAAAAATGATTAGCTGATTTACAATGTGACATTTTCACTCTTATTGATATACTCGTACTAAATCGATACTTTTTAATTATCATAATGAGTTTCTACGTTTTGTTTTGGTATTTTACTTGTGGCTAAATGAAAGTGAAATGAAAACCTTGGATGTGACGAGTATAACCTGTGCCACAGCCATCGCCACCCTGGCAATGTTGCAACTGCGTTTTTGAAATAGGTCAGAAACATTTGATTTCTGTGTAAAAGAAAGAAGCTGAAATCCTAGGAGTTGAAATTTCCATAGGGTGGCTCGACCGAGTCAAATATGAGGTCATTAGAAGCATTTTACACAATAAAATCACAATTTATTTATTAATAGTTATATGAATTATTTAATAATTAAATTATCTCTATTAAAAAACACTTCTAAACAAGCAAAATAACAAAATTATTACTCAATATTTAACCGGTGCCACTGTGGTGTAACACGAGTCGCCCATGTGCATGGATGACAGATGTCAAAATAAAAAATAGCAAGATACAGAGTGCGCCAGAACTCGTGCCCCAGAGAAAATTTTCAAATAAAGTAAGATACTAGGAACATGAAAAAAATGTTTAAAAAATTCTATCTGTCAAAAAATTTTGACATTTATGTTTTGACATTTGACTTTTTTTATATCTATTTAATGATAGTGATGATCTTGTATATGTTTTTTTTTACAATTATTTAGTAAAGGGACAAAAATGTTGCCAAGAAAAGCCACAAATAACATTGAACAGAGTTACAATTTAGGATACAGCTTCCTTGTTTCTTCTTTTAATTGCCTATAGCAAAAAAACTTGGAAAATTATTTTTCCAACAGAAATAAATAGAGTTAAAGTGCAAACTTTAAACCCTCATAACTTCGAAATTTTTATAGATAAAATTTTTTTAACATTTTTTACGTGTTCTTGGTATCTCACCTTATATGGCATTTTTCTCTGGGGCGGCACCCTGTATAGTAAAAAATAAATTAAAAAATATATCTTATAAAAGCAAAATAGTGTAGTGTTTCAGAACTCGCGCCCCAGAAAAAAATGCCATGTAAGGTAAGATACCAGGAAAAGAAAAATTTTTACAAAATTTTCGAAACTATAAGAGTTTAAATTTTGCACTTTGACTTTTTTTATTTGTGTTGGGAAAATAATTTTGTTTTTCATGTTTTTTGCTGCAGGCTATAGAAAAGAAGGCTAGGAAGCTGTATGTTAACTTGTAACTATTACATTATTACATTATTTGTGGCTTTTATGAGCAAAATTTTTGTACCTTTACTATAAATATTTATAAAAAAACGTATACAAGATTATCAGAACATTAAACAGACACCAAATGTCAAAAAATATTTGTCAAAATGTTTTGACAGATGGAAGTTTTTAAACATTTTTCCATGTTCCTGGTATCTTATCTTACTTGGAATTTTGAAACACCTTGTATATTTGTAACAGAATATTTTTTATATAATTATGCTTAAAAAATGAAATACATATTTTGTTTGATACCTAGTAGTTGGCTATGGAAAAAATATTTCACTTAAAAAATTAAAAAAATAACAATTTGGTATAAATTTTAAGTAATTTAGCATTTTTAAAAGGAATGTTAAAATCACATTTTAAGGGCTAGGATTGTTGTAGTAATGCTATATTTATTTTTACCTACTAAAAAAAACACATTTTAAATTTCGTTAGAATCCGTTGGCAAATAACAGAGATCCAAAAGTCTTAGATAAAACCTACTATTTTTAATTTACTATTTTAATGTTGTGTATGGAATTAGTATTTTCTACATTTATTTTTAATTAATGAACAATAATGAACTGAAAGTCGAATCGAAACTTTATTAAAGCTGGTACATTACTGTTTTTTCAAGTTCAAACTCTTAAATTTTCAGTATCATTAATGTATCTTAAAACATCATCTTCATCCATTATATAATTAAGATTTAGCAGTGGTGGGTCATTAGCTTCCTGATAAAACTTCAAATCTTCGGACACCTTCCATTTTTCGCCCAGAATTTTCTCTAAAGATTGATAAACATCGCTGAATTTACCTGGCTTGAATGGGCTTGAGTTTGGCAACATTTTCATACAAAGAATTTATTAGCATTTGTGGAAAAGTCAAAATAGACACTATTCGTGTTTTCTAATGACAAGAAAGTGTCAAATTTGATAAACAATGCAAGTTGAAAGTGTTTTTATGAATGGAATTTTAACTCAATAAAAATTAAATTATAGTTATAATTTTACAAAATACAACGAATGTTTTATTATAAATTTTAAGTAGCTAACTTTCTTTTATAATAATAATTTATGGGGGTGGATGGGAAAGTGATAAAACTGGTTTATTTTGTTTTCAGACATGAAACTCGAAAGAAAGAGCAGCTTCTCACACGATCAGGTTAGTTTTGAGCAGTTAAGTTATCAAAACGAAGGGTACCACCGGATGAAGCTTGATTGAGTCTCTTCTGTAACTCGTATTTTAATATAAGTACCTACTCATTAATGTGTTACTTTTGTTTTTCATTATTTTAATAAAACTAGGCTCGCTATGATTTCATATTTAGAGGGCTCAGAAGCCATTCATTCTAAATCACAATTTTTCTCAAAATGATTTATGTGATTCAGATGACACTGTATTGTTAAATTTTTCATTTGGCAAGGGGCACTATTTTGAAGTATTATCAATTCTTTTTCAATAAAGATTTTGTTTTTCACTTTTGAAACCTTTTTTATACATTTTTTTTAATGCTAACTATCTGAACTCTCCAGTTATTACAAATAATCTTTGAAATCTACCTGACCTATGAAAATGGAATCAACATTCATGGAATCAACATTCCATTTTCAACCAACGTTACGTAGAGGCTTTGGTCAGGCTCATTATTCCTCGTGAATCACCCTGTATTTGTTTTTCTTATCGCGTATTGCCATTTGTAAAATTATTGTTTTTTAAAAAGTAATAATATTAATTTTGTAACAATAATATTCATTTATTTATTTATTTATTTTTTGAAACTATTATTAATTATTTTATGGCTACTCGTAATAATGAAATGCTATGTAAAATAATCTAAATGCTAAGTAAGAATGCTAAATATTAACATAAGATTTGCTAAGTGTAAAAATAGTGGAACCAATATTTATCTTTAAAGGCATTTTCTAGGTCAATCCAGCGAAAAACCTTCATAACCAATTTTTTAGCCACTTATATACATACATACTGGGTGTTTCACACAACTTTACGATTGTTGCGCCTAATGTACGCACACAAATATAGTTTTTGGTGAAACAAAAATGTTTTTCTTTTGCAGTTTTGGCGTAAAATCAAAGATAAAAAATGTTTCCTCTTGTAAATACAATCCGGGGACATACTGTATAGGGTGTTTCACGTAATTTTACGAGGCCTGCGCCTGTAATATGCAATCAATAATACATATTCCGATACGAACTCGATTACAAATTTTGAAAAATTGAATAATTTTCTGATAGAACAAATGATAATTGTTTCTGAAAAACTGCAGTTTTGACTATTAATGAAACAGTGATTAGTTTGACAACAACTGTCATGGGTATTTATTAATTTTCCAAAAATTAAATAGTTAGAAGTTATTTTTTGTATCCAGTGTTTTGTGACTTTTGTATATTTGGGTGCATACATTAGGCGCAAGCCTCGTAATTTTGTGTGGAACACCCTGTATATTTTTTAAATACAAAAAAAACAATCTTTTTAGATATCTCATAGCCATCTATGATTATCATTTAAAAAAATATAAGCTTATTTTATTTTACGCCTAGACAAATAACTAAAAAAAAGTTAACTACATTATTACTAAATTCTACGTAAAAAAGTGTTTGTAGGATTATCTTCATCTAGCATTTTAGTATTTTTACCTAGCGTTTAGGATTTTAACCCAACGTTTAGTATTTTTACTTAGCAAATGTACTTAGCATTTAGTTTAACAACTTAGCGTTTATTTTTTCCCCTATTTAATTAAAAATAAATTGTTATATTTTTTATAAATCAGACTGATTTGATTTCAAGAAACTGCAAGACTGTTATTGAAAAATTTTAATTTTTAATTGCGCTTAAATGGTCATTTTTTCCTATTAATTATAATTACAATCTTATTCATGCCATCGATGATTAATGGCGAAGTTGCGATCAGAAGTCTGATTTTTAATTAAAGTTAATTTATTATTTATTTATGCCGTACCTACTTTAAATGTGAGATAAGGTAAAAGCCGAAAAATATTTATATTTTAATTAATTAACAATATTTGTGTTAATAACAAAGTTATTGATAAATACCTATATTTCAACGAAAGCAATTAATGACAGTTACTGTGGTACTAAATGTTTTCACTTTAATTTGCTTAAAGTGTTCTAAATTATTGCATACACCTTTTGAAAGTATTAATTAAGGTAACTTAGCCAAATAAGGCCCACTTAATTTTTACGATTTTTTATATATTTTTGAAAAATGCAAAGGTTTAGATTTATTATCGAAATTGTAATTTGAACTTTTGTTTAACAATGTGTACGACAAAAACGCCTCTTTTGTTAATTTTTCTACATGTTTTTAACATAAATATAAAATATTCAAAGGGCCTTTTTTGGAACCTCCTAGCCCCAAATAAGGCCCACCATCGACATTAGGTAAGGCCCATATTTAAAATTTGATATAGGATTTTAATTTTCTTTACAATTTAGATGAAAAATTAACGGTGGGCCTTTTTAATCACCGGGCCTTATTTGGCTTAGGTATCTTATGCTTTGAAGTGGAATTTTTAATTTTTAGTTTTTAGTTTGGTTGTGCCTTATTGCGAAATAAGCAATATTTTAATTTTAATATTTAGAAAAGTTGTTGTCGTGATTGATTTATCTTTCCTGACGTTTACCAAGGCTTCCTTCGTAATTAAAACAGGACCTAATGCCAAGGTTTTATTTTTTTCTTTGGAATTTATTAGATATATACTTTTACACTAACCTCATCTGGAGAAGTTTCAGCTTCCGGAGTTCCTTCTGTTGTGGTTGTAGTCGATTTGCCAAAAATAAGCGCTGTGGCTCTGATTCCGTAAACATCTTGTAGACTCAGCCAAAGAACACCTACCAAGAACAAAAAAGTTCATTATCGAGAAAGTCGGAGTGAAAAATGCAATAATTGTCTATTTGTAACAGACACGGTAAAACATATGCCACGCACATAAAATTTAGGTGAAGGTTATTAAAATATGAATGTCTTGAGAATCTTTGTCAAGTAGTCAAAAATCGAATTTAAATCGACTTTCTTAAGTGATTGAACGCATTTATAAATATTTCACGAATGTATTTACTCCATGCTTAGAATGGAAAATATTTAATCCGGATCAGATAATTTCAGTAAAAGTAAAATGGAGTAAGTGTAACAAGTCGAACAAAATGGAAAGTCCAATTTATGGGAAAAATGTCGAGTAATTAGGCATATAGGGTGTTTACATACCTGCTGACAGTAGAATCCAAAGCCCAGGCGGCCTTTTCATTCTCCTGAAACAAGACAAAATTACTCAACTTCCTTAGCCTTAGATTATATCTTTGCGCAATTATTATATCCTCTGTTCATTTCAGTATTTTTAATCCCCCGTATAGTGTGGATTTCATCTTCACGAACAACGTGATGTTTGTAATTATTCACATTGTTACTCGGGAGAAAGGCAAGGGAGTGGTGTCAAGAATTTATTGCGAATTATGTCAACTAAAATATTTTAGGTTGTAGCTATGTGGACCATCAGGTGATAAAGATTGCTAGTGAAAAAGTAGTTCCAAAGGTGATTAACAGATTCGTAATTAGTAGTGTTAGACGGTCGAGATTAATTTACCTCTATTACCTAGCGATATCGCAGTGGCGTCGCCCACTTCTTTGCGAACCGAATTTCCGAAATTGAGAATTGTTATTTTAATAAACTCTGGTGCATAACTATAGCACCACCTAATTTTTTTGAAATTTTAGCACTTTTAAAACGGTTACTTAAGGAATATTAATTTCAAAAGATGGAATATAATTCATTTTCCTTGGTGCATAACAATAGCACCACATAAAATTTAAATTAAAAAAGGCACTTATAAAGTTTATATTCTTAATTTAACAATGAGTGACTCCTCCATTTTAACAAATGACCTTAAAAGTTCTGCTAAGCATACTTTCAACCAGTTGCTGCTTTTAGACCAGCTACGGTTTTGTACTGATGATTTTCTTTGTATACCGAACGAACATGAACTTTCCAAAGATTCTCGATAGGGTTTAAATCTGGCTAACAAGCCGGCAATTCAATAACACGCACTTTTTGTTCTTCTAGCCATCGTAGTGTTTCGCTACTAACGTAAATTCGTGCTTTATCTTGTTGAAATAGCCACTCATTTCAATGATTATTTTCAAAAAAATGGCATCAAATGACCATCCAATACTTCAATATACTATTCTCCAGTGTTCATTCGCGAAGAAGAAAATGCGATTTGGAGAACACCATTGTAAGAAAACGCTCCCCACACCATAACACATCAAATTTTTTTTTTTTTGAGGAATATCGTGTTTTTTTCTTAGATTTCTCCAATATGAATTGAACCCATCAGGTCGATCCATATTGAATTTTTTTTATCCGATAATATAATCTAAGTAAAATGCTCGTAATTATCGTCAGTAATCATCATTCTTACTTTTTGCCAATTCTGATGCATAATGTTTCGTGCAATTGCAGTCGTGCGTTTTTATGCCTTTGAAGTAATCTCGGGGCAGTTTTTAATTTTTGACGCATAATGTGGGGACTCTGTTTTAAACTTCTTCAGATGGTCCATAGCGAGAAATTTTCTTTTTGGGCCCTCCCTACTTATTTTGTCCATAGTGCTCCGGACCTCGCAGGACCGATTAATTTTTCGAGCAATGGCTCGAATTCCGACATCTTCTTCTCTTAGAGCCAAAATTTTACCTTTTTCAAGTTTAGTAAGGTAATTACCGCGAGACAATAATGAATTAACACAATGACAAAAACGTTATAAGGTAATGGGGATTCAAATATTGAATATGAATTTTAAAATTGATTATTTTCGATTTGAGTTTTATGTGGTGCTATTGTTATGCACCACGGAAAAAATGTTTTTTTGGAATCAATTCAAAATTAAAGGTTTATAAGTCATTATATAGGGTGTTCCGTTTTTATTGTTACAAATTTAAACAGGTGATAGGATATTCAATTCTAAGACAAAAGTTTCCTATAAACATGTATCGAAAAATGCTTGATAAGGGAGCTACAGCCCTGAAAGGGGGCTAATAGGTTTTTGATAATATTTCAGAAACCATTTAAGATAAAATTACAAAATTTGGCACAAATAATAACCTTTATACACATAACGAATTCAAACATCAAATGTCAAAATTTTTAATCAGGGGTGTCCGAAACTGGTGGGGTTTAGGGTAAAAAAATACCTATTTATTTTGGCTTTAGTTTCTTTAGTTATGCAATGAGCAAAATGGTCGTCACTTTGAACAACTCCTTTAGATTTAGGCAAATTCATTTAATTAATGTTATTATTGTTACTGTCATGTAATGTTAATTAGTTGAGGTTGATTAAAAAATATGAATTTCTTGCTTTTATTATTCTGTAAATTCTGAATTATTTGGATGTTCTATTGGTGTGTAACATAAATTTTAAATCAATTTTATTCAAAAACAATAAGTCGTATCGACACAAGAGAGACTTTTCTGTGATAAACTATCGAACTTAAGATTTTGTTGCTGAAAGTACCGAGATATTAAAGTCAAAATAAATAGGGTATTTTTTTACCTTAATCTCCCCTAGTTTCGTACGCCCTTGATTAAAAAATTCGACATTTGATGTTTGAATTCGTTTAGGTGTATAAAGGTTATCATCTGTACCAAATTTTGTAATTTGATCTTAAATGGTTTCTGAAATATTAGTAAAAACATATTAATCCCCTTCCAGGGGGTGTACCTCTGTTACCAAGCATTTTTCGATACATGTTTATAGGAAACTTTTGTCTTAGAATTAAATATCCTATCACCTGTTTAAATTTGTAACAATAAAAACGGAACAGCCTGTATTTTAGTACAATAAATATTTAATCATATTCCATTTTTTGAAATTAATATTCTTTAGATAATTATTTTAAAAATGATAAAATTTCAAAAAAATTAGGTGGTGCTATAGTTATGTATCAGACTGTATTTACGGCCGACCGCCTAACAGTGGTAGTTAACAATTATTTAATTAAAGAATTTAGATGCGAATAGTTTTTCCACGCCCTGAACGTCGACGTTTAAGTATCCTTCAGTTAATCCAATTTGTAGAAATAAGTTTGTCGAAGTGATATTTTAGTATTAAATAATAAAATATAGGAGTAATTTGATTAATGCCCCGCCCTTACGTAGTTACCAATGAGAAACTGTAATCACAGGAAGCGTAAGTCACATTGTTACATTTTTGAAATGTCCTGTCGAAATTTTTGTGAAAATAAAGCTTAAAACTAAATTCGATGTTTGCTACTCAATACAAAGGATAGAATATTGTATTGCACTATAGTTTGTAGAAGTTGAATTTACTACGTAATCGCAGAAAAAATTGTTTAGTGTAATTTTTGCTTTAATACGATTGGTCTGCTAATTGCTAACAATTTAAAATAGGTGGAGCATTCATTTTCTTATATCGAAAGATCAAGATAATTGTAATCGAGTCATCTTTGGATCCAAAACTTGTTATTTTATTTGACGTTTCAGACATACGTTTTCGAATCCAAGAATGATTCGATTACAAATTATCTTGATCTCTCGAGACTTTATAGACTATAATTATAGAATTAGCAGTTTTATGGTTGTCGCTAATGACAACTACACAAAACTGTGACCATAAAAATGATGTTTGCGAAATTAGAAATTTGAAGAGTTTTGGCAGATTTTGACCTTAATTTACTGTTATAAACGAAATTTTTATAAAAAACGATTAAAGTCTTTTTGGACAATTTTGGTTAATAACAGTGTTAATATTTTACCACAAAGGTTACTTTTTCATCAAACAAGATGTCTAATAGATTTTTATAGCCAACAGACTGAAGTCTACACCAACAATATTGTTAGATACACCTCAAACAACAGGTGTTTATGTAGTTCCATGTCATGGTTGACTTCTTCTTTTTTCCTGCTTTCAGTACACTTGTTTGAATAGAGTATATTTTGTTGTTTGCTTATAGTTAAGTTGAAGAAAGTATAAAGTACATCTTTACATTTATGAACAATTATATCGTGCTTTTGAATTAAAGTAGATGCACGTTTGTTTCTTATTATTATTATAAATTGCATCATTGTATTAAGTGATCCCGACCTATGTAATTGACCGGCTTGCAATAATAATCGTGATGTTAGTGTAGTTTGAAGATTTTTATCCATCTGTTTTTTATCTGTTTTTTTGCTCTCTTAACAATAATTTTTATTGCTCAAGTCGATAGAGTTGAAGTTCGAAGTTTTATTCCTTTTATACTACTAAAATAGACCGATTCAAAGTTATTTTAATTTAAAGTGAAGACTGCTCAACACTGGAAGCAAAAAGTATAAATTTTGAATAAATCGCGACACAAATCGCTGTCAAGCATCTGTCAACTTTGACATTGGACAATTTTAAACACTTAATCGAAAATATTTAATAAAAAAGTTTACTTGAGACTCCAAACATAACCCACAATAAATCCAAATGGATCTCGTAGCATTTAATTCATAAAATTTAATAACAATGTCCAATGTCAACGTTGAGAGCGATTTGTGTGGCCATGGTCATTCGTTGCCATGAATATCATTTATTCAAAATTCATACTTTTTGCTTTTAACGTTGTGGCAGTCCTCACTTTAAATTAAAGTATCTTTGAAACGGTCCATTTTAGGGGTGTTAAAGCGTTTTTTATTCGAAACTGATTACTCTATCGATTTGAGCAATAAAAAATGAGTGTTAAGAAAGCAAAAAAACAGAAAAACACAGAAAAAGTGACCTGCGACTGCAATAACCGGAAATTCAGTAGATGTATCCGGTTTTTGTGATTACCAGTTTAAAAGCTATGTTTTCGCAAGTAATTATTCCAAATTTTATAATAGTTGATCAAACGGTCCCGAACTTTATATGCTATTTTATTCACAATCTCATTATTTTTAGTCAAAAATTTGAATAAAATAAAATTCTAACAAAGTTAAGGTTCAAACGTGGTAGGCCATCTAAATTGCGTTTGATTTTTGACATTTTAGAAATGACAAAAAAAAAATATTGAAATAATGTGTTAATCTGATACCTCTATTAAAATTGTTGAAATGGAGTAGTGCGCTCCCCCAGAAATAAGAAGCAAGGAAAACTCCCGGTATTTTTGTAATCTTAACGTTGGCAATCCTGCATGTTACCCCCCACGAGAAGTAATATTATTACTCCTCATGAGATATAATGACGTGTTTCCCAACCTTTAAAAGGTTAGTAATCGGCATATAGATTGGTGATTGTGA